AACCCCACTATCGACCAACCTCTTCTCCCTCCAATCCACCCTCTTGTTGCGCTTAGCCCCTTCCTGACCTTGCGGTTGATGCCCGCCCGACGACATCATCTTCTCCCCCCACCAGGTCCCGCGATACCGGCGCTTCCGAGTGCCGGCCAAGCCCCCGGCTCCGGAAGCATGGTGGTGATGCTGGTGTGCTGTGTGGGCAGCTGCACCTGCACCTGCACCTGCAGCCGAGCCCGCGGTGTAGTTCTCCAAGCCGCCGGAGCCGGGGACATCGTCGCTGGAGAAGAAGGCCGGGTCGCTGGAGGGTTGGCTGGAGCGGTCGTCGCAGCGGGAGCGCGCGGTGGCGGTGGCGGTGGCGGTGAGGCGGTAGTGGTGGTTGTGGTTGTTTTGGTGGTGGTGGTAATGGTGGTCGCGGCGGCGGGTTGGCGAGGCGCGGTGGTGGATGCGACGCGGGGGTGGTGGGAGTGGGGGATCGAGGGTTGGGTCCATTTTCCCGGCTTTTATCTGGTCGCAACTGACAATAACGTGGTCGAGGAGAAGGGTTGGAGGGATGGAAAGGAAACACAAACAAGAACCACGCCCTCTCCTCGAGAGTTGGCAGCAGGCAAGCGATCGGGAAATCGGATCAGATCAGATCAGATCACCTCGCACCCGTCGGGTAGAATGACGTCCGAGAGAATGTCGATCCAACTGGGGAGGCGCTAAGGGGATGGATTACACTAGCCTCTCTTGACGCTGGCCCTGCATGTCAGAGCTGTCAGTCATTCAAGAAATGTTTGAGGAATGAGAATGTTTGTTCGCGATTGAGTTGAAGAATGGAGGGGGTTCTCTTTTTTTTTGGTGTTGTTGTTGGAGACGCGTCGCGCTGGTTCAAAGCGGGGCGAGAAGTGCGGACGGACTACGGAGGGAGTGCGAGATTGATAACACACACTACCTTACCCTTTTCTGGGACAGTCTTGCTATCTACAATACTGGATAGCTATTTCTGGTTTTACTCTGTCTGACTCGGATTTTGGTTTAAATTTATGTCTATCTCTGCGGCTAAACAAAAAATGGTCAATTGGGGCGGCCACTATACATTGGATTCACCACTACATATGTGCACAGCTTCCAAACTCAGAGCGAGACCCCAAGAAAGTAAGAAAATAAATAGGTATATAAACGGAATTCCCCGGAGAGATACTTGCGCTGGTCACCACCAGCCGTCAAATCCATCAACTCGTCATATCTGAAACGTCATAAAGGGGTATATGGGTCCATAACCGAGCGTCCCATCCGGTTCCCTGATCGCGATCAAACCGGAGGTCGAACGAAGAGAAATTAAGTATAAGCGACGAAAAAAGAAAAGAAATAGGAACAGTTCGAAAAGTGATAAAAGAGTCTGGTGGTCATGATGTGTAACCTGGGCCTCGGAGCCGGCTTGAACACACAATCAATCTCGACCAAGCTGGCAATTGTTAACTCTGCTGGCTTTTGCTCACAGAGCGCCCATGATCAGAGCCAGAGATCCGGCGACAAGCGCAACAGGCATGCCAGCGGTGTTGACGTTGCCGGCGCCGGTGAAAACGGAAGACGCGGTGGCTGAGGCACTGGCCGAAGGAGCGACGACAAGCGAGGTCGGGACGGCAGAGGAGCTGACAGCCACCGAGCTGCTAGGAGCGCTGGGCGCGTGGGTGGGAATCAGAGGTGCGGACGTGGTCGACGCGCTCGAGGAGGTCACGGTGTCGACGTGAACCAGCGTCCGAGTGAGGAAAGTAGTCACCGTCGAGGTGGAGGTGGTGTCGGCGTCTGCGGCGACAAGCTGGGCAGCCGCCAGGCAGAGCAGGGAAGAGGCAATAGCGCTGATCTTCATCTTGATGGTTTGGAACGTATAGAGGATTGTGTATGGCTTAAAATGATCGAGTGCCGGGGTCGGACAAGATATATACGCGAATTGGCAATGAGGCGAGCGCAGCTACCGAGTCAAAGGAATGTGACAGGCGACGGACAAAGACGCGAATGAGTGAGCGTCTGAGTGACAATGCCGGTTGGAGAAGAGTTTCCGTAGGGGGAGCGCTGCTCGAAGCCGAACGAGTGTGAAACAAATCGATGTTTTATGCGACGCGCCGGGGTAGCAGGAAAGAAAAAGGGACGGCCGTGAGCGAGGCGGACCCGGACCCTAAATAAGAACCCAAAAAGAGCCCCTAGGAAAGTTCAAGGTTCGAGGCCATCGGTCTCGAGCCCGTCACAGCCAGAGGCACCGCAAGCCCACAACACGAGCGATGGGTCGGGAAAATTCCTCGGCGAGTCGCAAGGGGCGCTTTGAGCCAAGTCGATTGGCCCTGGGGCCGTCAAGAATGCCCCGGGGACATTACTCACGTCGAGTCGTCTACACGGCGCCTGCCGAGAAACAAATTCACGGCGCCACGAAGCTCCGCCAGCACATCCGGTGGCACCGGGACGGTACTGTACGTACTGCGTTGGCGGTCGTGGTCTGGGTTGAGGTGGATGAGAGCCCGACTCCTTTCTCGCCTCTGGGTTTTTTCGCATGCAGGCTTATCCCGGTCGAGTATAAGGACGATTGGATGTGGGCTCTAGCGAGGTCACTAACCCGACCAGGCCCCGTATTAGCTTTGGTTCCTGAGGGTGTCAGCCCAATGACGAGATAGTTGGATCCGGATCCATGGAAGAGGGGTCTGGCGGTCTTACCAGACAGGGTTTGATGGTCGCGAAGCTAGTCTCACTGGTTTTGACTCGTTTTTTGCTCAATGCTGACCCTTGATTGAGTCCGAACCCCTGGATCAATTCGGATTCGCCCGGATGGTTCCTCAGTCTAATTTGATTTTCTCTTTCATTCTGCAATGGACTTTCTCTACCCCTCTTCCCTTGCGTTCGTGTTTTGTTTCATGTGTTTGTGCGACATGAGGCTTTGTCTGTTGCGAGGATGAGGAACGCGTTTTGTTTTCTCTTTGATTTTGGTTTGCCTCCGTTTATTTGTGGGTGGAATAGAATTGGAGCTGGGCCTTAGAGGTGAAGGGAAAAAGGGGAGGAGGGCGTGATGACTGATTAGTGGGCGCTAGGCCGACACTAGAAGCGTCTAAGGCATCCACTCACCCACTCACCCACTTTCCCACCCACTCTCTCTCCACCCGTTCCTGAGGCAAAGGAAGCAGCCTGTTTTCCCCTTGCAGTGTGCAATTAAATTAACCGGGGATCCTTTGGGTTGGGGTCCGCTCCAACGCACAACAACAACAACAACAACACCACAACAAAAAGGCACCATGTTCCGTAGATTTGTAATCTGGAGCTACTGCCTGACTTGCAGCAACCGTCACACCGATAAAATCCTTCGGGTGCTGAGAGCCTCGAATTTATCCACGCCCACAAAATAGTGTATTTGTCGTCCTCGTGGCCGCCCGTGACATCTCGAATAGCCTCAATCAGCCAAGACCATAGAATCAGGAGTCGGATGAGACATTCGTCCAATGCACGGACCATAGCCGCATTCAAGCACCACCAAGAACAATCGCTGAGCTTAGGATGCGGTCCCCGTGAAGAAAAGGGGGTCATTGTCACCGCTGTTTCTGTTACACTACGCAGTACGCACAGTGACTGAGGAGACGGGCGAGGTGCTTGGCAAGGACGTACTCCGGAGTACAATGACTTAGGGGCTTAACAGCTCTCAAATGGTGCCATCGAAGGCCGGTCTGAGAGTCTCGGGAGCAACTCGGGAAGGACGGCTATCCAGCACGAGGGTCGGTGTTTGGCTTCCATGACCAGCTCGAGCAGAGCCTTGCTCGGCTGCATTTGACCCCGCTTTAGTCCGAGCCTTCAGTCATTGTCATTGCACCAGCTCGTGTGTCGATTTCGTGCTGCTGTGAAGTGGCGAAGAAGCGTGCGGATAACGCGCTGGCGTTGCGAAAGTCTGCTCGATGCCATCAATGACAGAATCAGTGCTGTTGGTCCAGATTAGGATGTATAGTACGACCATTTGCCTCAGCACTGGGAGTCCAATGCTGAAAATCTCTCAAGTCTTTCTTGTCACTAGGTCAGTCGACGCTCTAGGCTTTCTTTAGAACGAGCAATTCCTCAAGTTCCAAGCCGAGGGCATCGAACCCCTCATCCTAGGCCTTTCGATTCAGGAATAGACTTACCTAGCACCTGCAGTAGTACGCAAGGGTGTCTTCTAGAGGAGGGGTAGGGCAAACCGAACCTCACAATGGAAGGGCCAGAAGGTTCGACGTCTTCAAGGATTCGATGGGAGGGGTAGATACAAGTTTTTCGTTATCAGCGCCGAGACGCCGCCACTTCCCGATGATGAAAAAGAAACCCCGCACATCCGGACAGGGTTGTTATACGATAGAACAGTCTTTCGGGCTTGAGTATCGGCAAAATAGATGCTGGAGAGAATGGGCCACTCACTGGGTTCGAACCTGCTGGACAGATTGGCTTGAACAAGTGTGGAAGACCAAAAGCATCCGTGTCAATTGATAGCGGTTCGTAGAACATATCTAGGCAGAAACACAGAATGTGTGACTTAACAAAACAACACTCTTTGAAGCCTTTTAGGGATCGTGACTGGTCCGCTGCTGTTGACAATGGCACTATATTCGTCTTCCATCTGGAAAGTATAAGCCTTATCCCAGATCGTTCGTAGAAATGCACAACGGTGACGGGGCAACAATCCTGATTGCGCCCCCACCGCTAATGTTCACTTCCCAAACGAAGAACCCAGTGACTTGTGTGGAAGCGACTGAAACTAGCCCGCGTAATGGGACTTATAGAATATGTCCAGCCAGAGAGAGACGAATTATAGCTGATGTTCGGTATTCGCAGTCTGCAAGCGAGAGCTCAAGGCTGGGTGTATACGGCCTGCAAAAGATCCTCCCAGGACATTACCCAGCCGTTAATTAACGCTTCTTGTAGCGACGATTGAAATAGAGATTCTAGGTCGAGAAAGGGAAACGACTGAATCTCGAATAAACCCAGTGTACACAGTCCCTAGCTGAGAAAGCACCGGATTGTAGTGTCGTGTTTCAATAGAAGTTAACCCGGAAAGAGGACCGCAACATTATAGCAGGTTCAAAAAGACATGGACGGACAGAAACACAGAGCAGGCGTTCGTACCAGATGACGTTACAGCAGCCCTGCAGATGCTGAGCTGAGCTTCGCAAGCCTTCTACCGCAGGACTCGCGATACACATCCGGCAAACAGGACAACATAGATCCGGTTTTGCCGGTATACTGTCGCAGTAATTGAACCGATATCCTTCCTGAGCCCCCGACTTCCGTAGGTGTTGCCCGGTACACTTGAACGGTTCTGCTGGGATCTTTTGCTTATGCAAGGTTTGTGCTGGTTCAGAAGTGAAATGTTCTTATTTCGCGGCAATATTAGATTGTCGCATAAATATACCTCGAGGTCCGGTCTAGACAAGGACCTATGTCAGGATGGGTGAATTTTGCAGAGCTTCCATACATGTTGAGCAACATGCAGCTGGCTTAACGCTCTTCTATGACCGCCTTGATGAAGGTCAGGATTACTGAAACCATTGTTGGCTTCATAATCACGAGTGCTGGCGTTTCGAAGGAGCACGGCCGTGGCTTTGATTCCCATTGCAGGCTCAGTTTGTAGCGGTGGGGGCGTCGGTATCATGTTACTGAGTAGTTTATAATGTTAGATTATAATGTTAACATGATCCTAGCGTGACTAGGTCTCGAGGCTCTCAAGGTCCGACCATGAAGTGATAGTAGATACTTCAGCACGGCTAAGAACTGAAGTCCCTTGAGAAAACTTGAAGGCTGTCGATACCTGCGTCACTGAGGATATGTGCATCTAGCCACTCACCACATAAGCAATCACCACAGCCACTGAACTCGCTGGCAAAAATATCGATAGGGGCCCACTAGAGTTGGGAGAGGTGATTTCGTAATAGATCTTTCTTCATTGGCGCATATGAGAAAGCTAGTAACCGGCTCTAGACGCTTGTTAGGAAACAAAAGTGTACGTGTATTCCACGATAAGCAATCCCAGGCAAGGAAACCCGAGTGCGGTGGTGAAGAGCAAATCATGTTGGCGAGGGTGGACCAGTGACTGTTGGGGTGCGGGTAAGGCTGAACAAAAAAACCCACCAACTCCACATCTTCCATATTTATCCCGGTATCACTGGCTAACGGCGCTGGGTGACTCTCCTTTTCCTTCAGCCTAAACGATCTCCAAGAGAGCATTATTAGTCACTCCAGTTCACGGGAAGAAACTGAGACTGGGCATGCATTTTGTCTTGTTTTTGCGTACGAGAGTTGAGAAGATCATGTCTTCCAACCTCCAACGTCCTGCAAAACAGGAACCGAGCCGTCAATTTCATCCTCCCTGGCCACGATGAAGGGTCACCACCAGCACCCTCTCCTCCAGAACAGGCTGTCTTTCAGACTGCTATGTGCAGCGTTCTGCTTTGGGTTCTCGGGTGCCGCTCGGGGTAAAGCTACTTATTCCCCTGCATTCACCAGCTTCAACTGACCTGAACTAGGTCTCGATGGAGGCCTGATTGCTAGTACTGTTGCAGAACAATCTTTTATCGACCAGTTCCACCTACATGCCAGCTATCTCAGCGCTTCTGAAAAGGCAGATCGATTATCCGACGTCACGTCTATGGTACATATTGGCAGTTTGCCGGGGGCTATTGTTGCTTTTATCCTCTGCGAGCGAATCGGTATGCTATGGACCATCCGTCAAGCTTGCCTCCTGTGGATCATCGGTTCAATTGTCTTCATTACATCGCAAACACTTGGACAAGTATATGCTGGAAGGTTTATCATGGGGCTGGGCATTGGGCAGTATGGCGTGATTGCACCCGTTTACCTGGGTGAAGTAGCTCCACGGCAGATTCGCGGCATGATTGTGGGCATGTACGGCATGTCAGAATATCTGGGAATTATGATAGGGGTAAGGAATAGTAATCCACAATATGGTATCCGGTCGCTGATGGTGTCTAGTACTTCTCTATATGGGGTGCCTCCATTCATATCCCCAGCTCGAGTGCCAGGCAGTGGGTCATTCCGCAGAGCATCCAAATCATGTGGGCAGGATTACTCGTACTTTGTTCCTTTCTCTGTGAGGAGAGTCCTCGGTTTCTGTGCAAGATAAATCGTCCCAGAGCCGCCTTACACTCATTCGCAAGACTATGGAACTTGTCCGTCATGGACCCTGGTATTCATGTTGAGATAGCGAACGCCCAGGCCCAAGTCGAGTTGGAGCACCAGAATAGATCTTCGCTGCGTGTCTTGGGTGCTATCAAAGAGCTTTTCACAACGAAGGACAATTTGAGGCGTATCGCTCTCATCTTCACTCTTCAATGTCTAGGAGAGTGGTCCGGTCCCAATTCTGTGACAAGTGAGCCAAATAGGGCCCTTTCCGACTATCAACTAAGAATTCATGCTGACCAAGCCTAGCTTATGCTCCTGAGCTCTTTGAGCTCTTTGGCATTGAGGGGCAATCGCAAAAGCTCTTCACGACTGCAATCCTTGGAGCTGTCAAATTCGCATCTGCGCTGGTTTCCGCGTTGTTCTTGCTCGATGCATTGGGCAGGCGGAAGACGCTTTATCTCGGTCTGGTTATCCAGATCACAGCTCTTGCATATGATTCTATCTTTCTCACGATCTTCGCAGACCTGTCGCCGAGCTTGCAGCAGGAACCAACAGTCAGACACGCAGCTATTGGCGCGATTGTGATGATCTACATGACCGGACTCAGTTGGGCGCTTGGATGGAACTCGATGCAGTACCTCATCCCAGCGGAAACATTCCCACTGAGAGTTCGAATTGTCGGAGTAAGCATGGTCACACTTTGGCACTACGCCAACCGGATTGGAGTTTCTAAGGTTTGACTTTCATTGAAAAGGCCTTGGTACATCAACATTACACTAACTCACTTAGGCTACCCCTATGATGCTCCTCAGTCACGACTCGCTCACGCCCAAAGGCACGTTCTGGTTCTTCACAGGCATATCTGTGCTGGGACTTCTGTTCGTCTGGGTCTTCGTTCCGGAGACATCTGGCAAAGGACTCGAAGAGACGAACGCGCTATATACAGGCCATCGCAATCCTCAAACGCCACATTTAGCTATTGATGACGACTCAAAATTGAGCCAGATTGCGGAATTGGCCCGCAACTCTAATTTGACGAGCGAAAGCAGCTCCGATCAATCGGGCCGCCACCGGTAGGAGGCAAACCCGCGTATTTCCGTGATGGTTGTGATATATCCGTCTTCACAGCTACCCCGCATTCTTGTACACCGCGAAAAGTCTCGGCGACTCCACATTCCTCAACATTTGATCGATCATTTCCGTAGCGAGATATCGAAGCTTACCATTATTGTCAGTGGTCTCGGATCATGCTCGTTTCCATTGGTGAATGCGTCATCGAGTTGCAGCATGGCTGCGGCTCACCGAATATGATCGCGGAATTTCTTTTCACTCCGAGATCTGTCCTTAAAAGGAGCCTTCGTCTTGAGAAACGCTGACACTGCCATTCCTTTCTACTTTTCACTATAGCTAATTGCAATGCCTCATACAAAATGACGGAAAAGATGGAGGATCGAGAATTTTACGACTACATTATCTGCGGGTAAGTATGTCTAGGGTCAGAGGGCGGACATCATCTCATCCAGTCCTCTCAATCACTTGTTCGGCAACTAACACTCTTCAACCCAGAGGAGGCACTTCGGGATGCGTCGTTGCAGGGCGGCTGGCCGAGAACCCGCAAGTGAGAATCCTCGTTATCGAGGCTGGACAACATAATAAAGATCTGGAGAGTGTTCACATGGCCGGGGCGTGAGTGATACGATAACAAGCCTACATGAAACGTTATTGACCATGGCAATTTCAGCTGGTCCACCAATTTTGATAAAGAAACGGATTGGAACATTGTCACACGTCCGATGTCTGGTGTTGACAACCGGCAGGTCAAACTAAGCAGGGGCAGGTTCCTGGGCGGCAGTAGTGGGTGCAACGGAACCCTCTGTATCCGTGGTTGTAAGCAAGACTACGATGATTGGGGCCTAGATGGATGGGGTGGTCAAGAGTTCTTTCAATATATGCGAAAGGTTGGTCACTTTTCGTGATGCTGCGACATGCGATACCATTTGATTGAGCTGACATGTGGTCGCAGGCCGAGACATTTCACTCGAAGCCCTGGTTTAAGGCTAGCCACGAGTATCATGGCCAGAGCGGACCTTTGCATGTCGAACCACACGATCTTGCACCAATTAGCAATTTGATTATGGACTCCTTTGTCTCACAGGGTCTTCCACTTGACCATGACATGTTCACAACTGGGGAGACGCCCCACGGATGTGGTCACGTACCACGAACAGTACACAAGGGTATCCGTACAACAAGTGGTGATTTCATTACGAACGGATACCTCCGGTCCAATGTCACAGTTATGACTGAAACCACTGTCGATAAGGTTCTTCTGGGGCAAGGTTCCGAGGGCTTGAAGGCTGAAGGTGTGGTGGTCATCACGCCCGATGGCCTGAGATCTATCTACGCAAAGAGAGAGATTATCATTTCTGGGGGTGCATACTGCAGTCCAGCAATTCTCATGAGATCTGGAATAGGGTCCAAGGAGGAGCTAAGTAAGCATGGCATTGAATGCAAGGTGGATTTGCCAGGAGTGGGTCAGAACCTCCTTGACCATATGGTATGTTGCTCTGAGGAGAATTCCGAGTTCGTGGACACACGTCGCTCATCAAGCGGTTTCTAGATTGTTTTCATGTTCTATGAGACTGAAAAGCCCGGCTTGACAAATGATTACCTCGTCCACCACGGTGACAGCTTCGAGAAGAGTTACGCACTTTGGAAGGAGAAAAAGGAGGGATTCCTTTCAACGTTTCCATTTGGTTGTTTCGCATTTGCCCGACTTGACGACCGTCTCAAGGACGAGCCACTTTGGCGGGATGCACCACGGGAGCCCGGTCGCGACCCAATGGGCTTGACTCCGAAGCAGCCAAACATTGAATTCTTCACCACGGAATGCTATGGTGGTCCCAAACAGTACGACCAGTTTCCTATCGATCACAAGCATGCATTTTCTATCATTGCGGAATTGTTCTCTCCCCGGTCTCGAGGCAGCGTGTCACTATCCTCGAAGAACCCGCTTGAGAATCCTATAGTGGACTGCAATTATCTTTCGGATCCATTGGACCTCCTTGTTCTCACAGAAGCCTGTCGATTTGCCAACGAGATCATCACCCAAGGAGCTGGAACGAAAGACATTGTTAAGGGATCGTGGCCGCCCAACCTGGCTCATCATACCTACACCAAAAGAGAGCAGTGGATTCCCTACGTCAAAGAGCATGGAACGACCTGTAAGTCAAATACTATCTGTTTTCAGGCGTGGCCTTACTGATGTTTATTTGACAGGCTACCATGCGGCAGGTACTTGCGCTATGGGCAAGGATGGTGACCCTAACGCCGTTCTTGACCATAAGTTACGAGTGCGAGGGGTATCCGGCTTGCGCGTTGCTGATTGCAGTGTCATGCCAGCGCTGCATGGAGGCCATACACAAATGCCTGCATACGGGATCGGTGAGAAGTGCGCTGACCTTATCAAAGAAACTTGGAGCACACCTCCACTTGGGGGAGTGTCGAAGCTATGAGCGTGCTCTTCCTTGTTTCCAGTTTTTTGTCTGTGTCTACCTTACTCCTAGCTATTCTTTACCTGTCCGCTATTTAGCAACATTTATATTTTGGGTACTCTTTCAATGTTTTGGTGGTAGCTTTTCTGAAATCCAACTCCTGAGACTATGAGATCTTATTGAGACTGAGACTTTTAGAGCAAGATACTATCACTCGTTTCAGAGTCTTCAAGGCACCATTCGCAAGGTATGTGTAGCTGCCGCATACCTAGCAGCGACCTACCATAGCAGCGAAGCAGAAGGGCAAGTCCGGCATCGGCCCTAAGCTTTCGGCACTAGCCTCGTGGTCGGGTCACCGCACCCAATGAGCGGGGAGAATGTCAGCCTTGTGGAGGCTAGCGCGAAGCCGACTGTTCCGCTCTGGCAAAGAATTATCCAAAACCATTTGCCGATGACTCCAGAGGCGTAGGGCTGACGACTCTGGGCCTTTCCAGGTCTGATAGCCCACCCCTAGATGGATCGCTGTGGAGTCAGGAAAATGCCGTCTTCACAACAAGCAATTGCGTGCTTTTTAGCCTGGCTCGGCGAGGAATTGGAGGAGTGTAAGAACTAAGAAGAAACGGAGCAATTAAAGTTTCACGAGGAGGGATATCCGAAAACAGCCTCAACGGAAAAACTTCATCAGCGGTACAGTACTATTTAGTGAAAGGCTGCCAGAGGAGGGAACAATGACTCTTTGAGGGCGTATCTAGGGCTTAGGGTGTTAGTGGACCGCCCTATACCTTCTTCCACCTTCTGCTCCCCCAAGATCGATCTCATCTGTTTGTTTGTGTCTCTGACGTCGGCTGCAGTCCACTTCACAAGTCGACTACATACCAGTCGAGTTGCTTTATCATCATCATCATCGAAAGAGACTAGAATGTCCCAGCCCTTTGACACTGGCAAGTCCCCGGTCCTGCCCATCGTGGAGTCGTCGTCCGAGAAATCCGGCAAAATGCAGGGGATGATGGGCGGCAGCAAAGAAAGTCGGTGGAAACAGAACATCGACAGCAATTACGCGGACCTGATCTGTGTGGTGCTATGCTTCCTGACGGGTCTCTGCGATAGTTCGGCCTTCAATGCCTGGTCGTGCTTCTTGGCCATGCAGACTGGTAAGTTCTTCGGTTGCTTCCTTCACTCCCCCCGCGGCGCAGTGTTTCCTCTTCTACAGTATCCCCGCCCCTCCCATCGTCCATAAGCCCAAAGAACCGAATGACCAACCAAAGACAAAAAACAGGAAACACGATCGTCCTCGGCCTGGGCGCCTCGAACCTGCCCCGCGACGCGCCCTACGGCTGGCTCAAATCCCTCGTCTCGATCAGCAGCTTCCTGCTGGGCTCGTTCTGCTTCAGCCGCGCCGGCCGGCTGCTGGGCCCCACGCGGCGCGGGACGCTGTTCGCCTCCTTCATGGTGCAGGTGGCGCTGATCGTGATCGCGGTGTCGCTGATCCAGGCCGGGCTGATCGCGCAGCCCAGCGTCAACAGCGCGCACCAGCACCACATGCTGCTGGACCTGATCCCCATCGGCCTGCTGGCGTTCCAGTCGGCCGGCTCGATCAACTCCACGCGCTCGCTGGGGTACAACGAGATCCCCAGCGTCGTGATCACGAGCGTGTACTTCGACATCGCGTCCGACATGAACATCTTCGCCGGCAAGAACGTCAAGCGCAATCGCCGCGTCGCCGGCGTCGTGATGTTGCTGGTCGGGGCGATCGTCGGCGGGTGGTTGAATCGCAGCGCCGGCGGGATGGCGTCGACGTTCTGGTTGGCGGCCGGCATTAAGTTTCTGATCGGGTGTGGGTGGTTGGTGTGGACGCCGAAGAAGCAGGATGGAAATTAGTAGCGGTGTCTTGGTACGAGGGGTTGCAACATGGGGGAGTTGTAGGTGCGCTGTATATAGCGGGAGCGATCTCCTTTAGCGATTTCATTTTTGGGTTTAGAGACATAGAGTGGTGGATCTTGGGGCTCAATAGACCATTATTACATAGAACCACGCAGTCAAAGTCGCGTTTGTGCTTTCCGCTGACCATACAAGATATCTCTGTCGTCATCATTCATGACCGTCCATTAAATTTACCCAATCGTGCTATAAACGCCAAGATACATCGCAGGGCTTTCCTGGACTCGAGGCGGCTCCGAAGCACCTCAGCTTCCACCTATGTACACAATATAGTCCGCGTCCAGGGCTCTCTCTGTCTGCTCTCTGGCTCAGCAAGCGAGTCGAGTATTCTCAAAACCGCCGGAAAGCTGCGATCAAAATAACTGCCGTGATCCGCAGAAACCGTCATTCAGTATAGCTATTGTACAATCTGCTCGCTCCTCGTCCTCGTATCATCGCTCCTTTTCCGCTTCCCACAATTCTTTCAAGGGTATTCGGGTGGTCTACTCGCGCATGGGACGGAGGGGGCTCTGGCGGGGGAGCATCATCGGGGGGCCCCGAGCGCGGAGCCAGGCGTCATTGTAAGGACCCTCGGTGCGGATGACGCTACCGATGGACATGAAGAGGCTGTTTGACACAGAGCTCGTTAGCATTGATTTGTTGACTGATGTCGACTAGAAAAAAAAATCTAGGTATAGTCCAACCACATACCCGAAAGTGGCACCCGAACCAAGCATGTATTTACCCAGGGTGCGGAAGACACCGTTGGGACCGGCTCCATACTGGAAGATAGTGACGGTGCCTGGGGCTTGTTAGCTGATACAGTTTTTGACGCCTTCGCATGGATACTCACCGATGATGAAGCCCATGATACCACCGACAGCTGGCGAGTGATGATGTTTAGCTCCCAACCCTAGTGGTTTTGGTAGGTCAGGAAAAGTAAGGCTTACTGGATCCCATCAAAGCACCCATCTTCACTGCATAAATCATTAGCACATGCTCATAGAAGCCTGGAGCATAGGTCCACTTGTACTGCGGATTGTCTGAGACTTACTCTTCTCGAAGGTGTTGGGGCCGTGGGCCTGAGGGGGACCAGCAACAACAGGCATGATGAAGAAAGAAAAGAAATTAAAACTGAGGTAAAGAAGAATAGAAGAGGTCAAGGGTACAGTACACGAGAGCACGAAGACACTGCCGGCGTCGAGATGCAAAGCGAAGCTCCAGCGCATGCCCGGCAAAGCCCCGAGGCTCAGGCGATGCCTACCACGTGATACCGCCTGCCTGATTCGGCACGCTCTCTTCGCCGGGAGATGACATAAGCCACACGTGCTGCCTCACGTGATAGAAGCCTGAGGCGGGTGGAGGTTAGGGGAGAAGAGCAGGAGAAGGAGGAGGAGGAGAAGGAAGTCCGTGAGCTGATGATGCTGTGGGCTCTCCCTCTCGCTCGCTCCCGCTTCAGTCGCCCGGTTACCACACCCATGGGATCTGGTCGCAAACCCGTCTGATTCTAGTGTGTCGATTCATATTCCTCGACGGCCTCAGAGCCTATGCACGGCGGCAGTTCCGTCCTGCGTGTGCCCTCTTTTTACCTGCTCCTGCTCCTTAGAATCCTCTCCCTTCGCTGGACCGTTGCTTCTGCCGGTCGCTCCTCGGGTTGGGCCAAGACCTTGACGTCTCCCTGGTCTCCTCCCAGCGCTTTTCTAAATCTCCCGCCCAAACCCACTTTAATCTGATCTCGGCCCTTTGTACGAGTGAAACACTGGTAAGTCCAATGTGATCTATCTTATAATAGAGAGGGGCTAAGGGGGCCCATCGCCTGCCGTTGCTGCCTCGACTCCGAAGGGGCTTTGATGTTTATCGAAGGTGTCCGGGAATAATTGCTAACGTGACCTCCTCTCCCAACAGTCGTATTGGGTTACAACAGCCATTTTTTTTGTCGGCGCGCCAGCCATCGCTGCATCTCTTTCACCTCGAGGATCTGTCGCGACGAGTTGCAGCTGCTGATTGTCGCCCGAGTGAATATTCTCTCTTGCCCTTGTTGCAGTCACCGTTGACCGGACGAGCGCCTATGTGATAAACCCACCGAGCTATAATTCACAACACTTAGCGCCTCCCTCCGGTGATCCTTCTCCATGACTGCTGTGGCATCACCACCTAGTGTGCAAACGGGGCCTCGCATGGGATGGTTCGATACTGGTAACGGAGGACAAGGTGCTTTTTCTTCAATGGATGCGGAAGAAGTGTCTCGGACATTTATGCCTCGAAAGACCGTTCAGAGATCGAATTCTTCGTCATCCCTCCGATCCAACGGCTCCGCCTCAACTACAGTGGCTCTCACTGAACAGAACTCGGGCCCCGCACAATCTGCGCCCACAAATACCTGGGGCAAGAAGAAGCCCTCGAGAAATCTCTGGCATACCTCTAATTCCGAACCGCAGTCCCTACGGGGCATTCCACCTTCTTCTCAAGCCATGCCGGCCTTTTCTTCCGGCCCTGGCGCTTTGTCCGCGGTCCATCAGCCGTCATCCATTGTTCCGTCTCAGCATATGCTCCAACTCTCCCAGCAACAAAATGGCCTCCGCGCTGGGAGCGTGCCACAGGGCGACCCGCCTGCGATCTTGACCCTCTTGCCCATCAACGGCACTTTCGAGAAGAAACAAATCACCGTGCCTTTTTACCCGGAGCTGATACGCATTGGCCGACAGACCAATGCGAAGACAGTGCCCACTCCAGTGAATGGCTTTTTCGACTCGAAGGTGCTATCACGGCAGCACGCTGAGATTTGGGCCGATAAGAACGGGAAGATCTGGATCCGCGATGTAAAATCGTCCAATGGTACATTCGTGAACGGAAAGCGCCTGTCCCAGGAGAACCGCGAATCCGATCCTCATGAGTTGCGCGAGAACGACACTTTAGAACTCGGAATAGATATTGTTAGCGAAGATCAGAAGACGATTGTCCACCACAAGGTGTCCGCCAAGGTCGAGCATGCGGGTATCTATGCGTCTATTCCCAACATACTCGACCTGACGCTCGGCGACTTGGATCCTTCGGCTGGCAATGGCCTTGTTCCGTCGCCACTCACCCAGCCTATGCTACAGCTTCGCGGTCGGTCAGGTAGTACCATGAGCAATCGCAGTGTACAAAGCGCAGCGAGTAGTCAGTTCAATGCGATGCAGCAACAGCGTCAAATGAACTACTGGAATTCGCCGATCTCAATAGAGCAAGTGGTCAAGCGACTCACGGTAGGTGACTTTGTTCTTTTCGGGGCCGACCGAGGCTAATCAAAACACCAGAGCGAAATGAAACAGGCGAAACAGCAATCGCAGGAGCTCCGGCAGACGGATGAGTTCCTGACGACTCTGATGAAACCCGGTCAGCCCGAGAAAGAAAAGGCGAAGCACTCGCCGCCCGATACCAATGCCGCTCGCGCAATCAATGGCAGACCCAAAATCCCTCGTGTAGACTCTTTCTCACGGTTTTCCGAGCCTCCCGCACCTCCTCCACAGCAACCGCTCCCTGAGAAGCCGGACGCTCTACCTCGAAATGGCACAGACTCTCTCTCCCCTCTGAAGCGTTCCGATACCGAGAAACCCAAGCTTGGTGGCAGCTCGCCTGTCAGTCGTGATAACAGTCAAATCCTTTCCCTGATTGAAGCATTGTCATCCGCCAAACGGGAGCTTGACACCCAAGGCGCCCGTGTCAAGGAACTAGAAGCCATGTTGCTTCAAGAGCGATCGGCTCGCGAATCCGCCGAAGAAAAGGCTAGAACTTTGGAGATGCGGACCGTCACAAATGGTACGCATGATACTTCGGTGTGCAGCGACGCTGATCACGAGACCACACAAACTGCGCCGATGGATAAGTCGGTAGAAGAGCCTGCTGCCGAAGTTGCCGCGGAAATTGCGACCGAGGTAGAGCAGGCGGGTTCCGCGGTCATTCGCACCGAGGATCTTCAACATCGTCTGGAAACGATGATCCAGGAAATGGAAGAAATGAAGAAGCAAGTGACGATCTTCAAAGAACAGGCCCAACATGCGGAAAGTGAAACGGCTGAAGCACGCAAGTCCCTGGCGGAGATGATTGAGACATTACGACGAGAGCGCGCGGAGCGTGCCGAGAGCGATGCCAAGATGGAGGCTTCAGGAACAAGCCATGTTCCTGACACCACGATTACCAAGGCGGAGAATGCCATCGAGAAAGATGCTTCCGAGCCTAGCGACCCACGACTGCAGCCTGTTGCATCACCCCGCATGAAAGAAGATGACACTGCAGATTCCAAACTGGCCGCGCAGCCTCGCCGACATGACGTTCTGGAGCAATCCAGTCCATTTGCGTCAATGCTGGGAGTCGTGCTTCTAGGGGTCGGATTAATGGCCTACCTGAATGGCTGGCAGAAGATGGATAAATGAACAATCTCCTGCCACCATGTTATGTTTGTTTTGAGCGAATGGCTTGAATTGTTGGTTTATTTCGAAAAGGTCCCTTTCACCCCCGTTGTTATTGCACCCTGGAGACCTTTTGGTCTACCACCATCCAATCCTTACTGTGCCCATTTTCTACTCCCGTCATAGTGATTTCTAGTTCTGACCCCCTTCTCTCACCGTGTACTCTGATCCAACGCTTCACAAGGTCTCTGCGTTGGCTGTGGGTTTCTTTCTTCTCTCTATACTTGCCCTTTCTTGCGGCCCCATTATATGCAGTTGTTGTTTTGCATAACCTGCATGACTCTCGCTTGCCTTTCAGTTGTTAGATATCATCTCTTCGTTGGCGCCCTGTTGACCCAGTAACGAATCCCTGGCTGCAGTGGTTTATTTCCTGTTAATGTTTTCTTTTCTTATCATGGGCAGAAGCAGGTCATGTAAGGCATACCCGCCTTTGTGTATTAGTCTACATAGCATTACTTCCTTGAGTTTCAGCGCGATGAATACTTAACTTTCTCCCACGGTCCTTCCTGTATATTTCTTCTTACAAGCTGGTTCACCTAGAGGTGCGAATGGATTGAACATATGGAAGTCTTGCAGCTGTGGCTGTAGCTGTAGTATGGCCTGCGACTTGTATAGTCTGCTGATAGATATCTGATCTGGGGTAATCGCAAGGAGTCAGCATGTCTTGCTGTCTCTTTTGCGCAGCTGGTATGCCATCGTCTGTTGCTGGACAGCACACTTCAGCTTGGAGTGTTCGGGGCCTTGGCTTGACGCCTCTGTATCTGTGGTTTGACGATAGGCAACCTTTCCACCCGAAGCACCCAGGATAGTTGTGGTTATGTCCCCGATGATGCTCCATTCGTCATCAACACCATTGTCTCGAATTATTCTTCATCATTCCCAACCCAGCAAGGAATCCTACTTCAGCCCCACCACAACATCCACCATATTAACCCACCTCGTCCGCGACTCGGGCAATTCCTCCTCTTCATCCTCTCCCTCCTCCTTCTCCCCCAAAGCCCCTTCTCCCTTCCCCTCCCCCTCCCCCTCCCCCTCTCCCTCCCTCTTTTCACCCTTAACCACCGACCCCAAGCCCCTCACAGCCCTCCTCCTCTTCTTAATCGCCGCCTTCGACAAAACCCGGCCACTCCCCTCCTCCACCCCGGTCTCCACCTCCCTCCTCATCCTCTCCGCCCCCTCCACCACCCGTTTCTTAGCGGCCTCATCGACCTCCACATCATCCACAACCAGCACACTCCCCGTCGTCACCGTCACCCGAAACTCCCCACCCCCCGCCGCCTCCCGCAGATACTCGCCCACCGCCACGGCCTTCGCAATCGCCCGCCCCGTCGCCTTGACATGCACCTCCTCGCGCCGCAGCGCCTCCTGCACCTGCGCCACGCGCTCCGCTTGCGTTCTCCCGCCGTGGTGCTGCCGCCCCCCTTTCGTGGAGTGCAACCCCGCGGTGGCGCGCTTCTCCGCCTGCCGCAGCAGCTTCCGGACGCGCGTCACGACGCTCATCTTGGGGGTGGTCGTCGACACGTAGATGGTTTTGGGGACGTTGGAGCCCGTGTATGGTGTTGACGGGGCGGGGTGCGGGATGGGGCGTTTGGTGATTTTGGCGTCTGCGGAAGGGGGAGGGTTAGCTTTGAGGTTGAGCCGGGAGGGTAGGGGATGGATTTGGTTCAAGGGAGTTGGGGATCAGGGAGAGGGATAGGCGTACATTTTGGGAGTTTGGTCATGTTTTGGTTCTTTTGTGTGAAGGTCAGGCTTTCTGGGTGGGGGTGGGCTTTTGTTGCGGGTGCTGTTGGTGGTGGGGGTGTTGGTTGGGGCATTTTGGGTTGGGTTTGTTGTTGATAATCTGGTGGAAGATTGGATGGGAGAGTTTCGAGGTTGGCGAGGAGGTTGGCGAGGAGGTTGGAGAGGAGGCCTTGGTAATTGCTGAGGTTGTTGGTTGTTGGATTGGACGGGGATGGATCGCGACGGACATCACTGGGCTGCTTTCCATTTCTTTGATGGTTGGCCGGATTGGGCTTAGTGGGCTTCCTTATCTTATCGCTTCTTTCACTCGTGCTTAGATTGTATAGAGTGACTGTATTAATGCTATCATATTTGGTATTTCCAAAAGACTTCTGAGCTTGAGAACTAGCTAGCTTGGAGCTATAGTAATCCAACCTACTATCGTACCATGGCACTATGGTTGGAAGCTGCCATCCAAGTCCACGTCAAAACACTACCTATTTGCACCACTCGTGTAAAGCCAGTCTTCGCGAGTATCGTATCCTTAACTCGAGACAACCTTTGAACACGCTAGTGCTCGCTGCCCGCTCCTGCTACGGAAGCGACATGCCGATATAGAAGCCAGGCTCGTTGATGTCGTGGTTCTTATAACTAGTGGAAAAGGAAATTGTCAACATTCCCCCATCGTGTGCATTCAGGCACAGCCCACGCATACCTGAGAATCCCGATGGCACCAGGCGACAACATCATTGGCAGCGGCGTGCTCAAAGAATAATTCAGCCACCTTTTCACAAAAGCTCGCAGAACAAGACCATGAGAGACCTAAAATAGTCAGCATACTCAGCTCAACTCGAGTATAATGCCTGTCTTTGCTTCCTGCTCATAGAGGAATCATACCAGAACGACATCCACAGCCTTTGAGCCGTCCATATACGGCCCCTGCAGCTCTCGAATCCGCCCAATCAGACCGTCGAGCCTATCCGTCACCTGTTGCGCCGACCTGGTGCAAAATTCTCAGTCAGCAAGATTCTCAAGATCACAATTGACGGGGGAAGAAATAAAAGATCACGAACTCCCCGCCCTCACACCCATCCTCCCAGATAACCCACTCCCTCCGCTGGTCCAACCCTCGCGCTTTGCGGGCGGATCGGATCTCAGCGACCTTCAAGCCCTCGTAGTTCCCGTAGTCCCACTCGGCCAGCTCTTCTGTGCACGTGACGAGACGCTCGTCGACGGTACCCCTGTGCCGCCCGGGTGGTTGGAACAGATGCCGGAAGGTCTGCTGCGTCCGCCGGCGCGGACTCACCCACACGCGGGCGATCCGGGCGGGATCAATCAGTCGCCCCGGTCCGATCAGCTGGGACCCGGTCTGGGTGACCTGCTCGACACCCTTCGGGGTGAGCTCCAGCTCGGTGGTGCCGGTGTAGCGGCCGTTCTTGGTCCACTCGGTCTCTCCTGATGTTTCAAAGGTTAGGAGGTCTGCGACGCGAGACAAGAAGCAAAGCTGTCAATGAGTATCACTCACCATGGCGGATGAGGAATACTCGAGGTGTGGTGGAATCTAGATCAGACATGGTGGGTCGGGGGCCGTATGAAGGTGTAGTACAGTACAGTGCCGCTGAGAGGTAGAGTCCTTTCTACTTGAACTGCAGATTATGTCGCTGGCCTGTAGAATGTGTTCTGGGGTCTTCTCCGTTTCTGGATCGGAAGGTCAGTCGCATGAGGGGTCGGAACGAGGGGTTGTCGTTTACATGCGTCTATTGTTTACATAATGCTGACACTAAGCTATTAGCTCCTTTTGCGCCAGTAGACCCTGTATCCGAGTCTGTCTTGAGACATCTCGCTTGTGGCAGTAAGAATGAGAGCATAAAGCGTTAATCAAGTCTCCTTGTTACTTCTTTCTCATACTTCTAGCTTTGATGTTTGATTAACAGTCTGCGTTCGATGCAGCTTACGCGGTACTCCTGATAATGCAAGCTGGTGGGTCTGCTGATGAGCAATATGTGTATACTAGGTCCATGCGGCACTGCGCTCAAAGACATCGAGGTCTCAGGTCCTCTCTGACGTTGAGATCTGACACAACAAGCGTGCTGGAACTTCATACAAGATGTGTCCCACTTTCTGCTTCAACAGTAATTTGTACGGGTTCGTAACAGATATCAGATTCGAGCACGGTGTCTTGGAGTTCGTTCTCACCGTCCTCGAAATCTTGAAAGCGGAAACTGGTATAATCGAGGCCGGTTATAGCCTCTGCAAGCTCAGAATGGAATGACGACCTAGCAGAGACAAAGAGGTGAGACTCCATGAAAGTTTCTGTTGATCCGCTGTCATCATCCTCTGATTGAGCGATGCTGATCAGGCCCTCAAAGGCTTCTGAGAGCTTTTCGTCGTGGTCATGGCGCGCTTGCAATATAGCTCGGCCCGTAGACAAAGTTTCGGGGTCCAGTCCGTGGAAGAGCCGCAAAGGATGAGATGACGCGAGTATCAACATAGTGCCGATGTCTGCATGTTCCGCGACAAGCGAGAGCAACTGGGAGCCTGACAAACTGTTAGTGAGCTATTCAACCCGAACCATGGTCCTTGGCTCGTCCGGATGTCGGTGTTGACAGGTAGAGTACCTTTCAGGCGGATTATGGTTAAGTAATCATAGCGGCAGCTAACGAATAGTTGCAGTATTTGATGGTTATTGTGAATGATCGCAGTTGACAATGGGGTGATTCCATTGCTAGACGTCGCGCCTAGGTCTGCTCCAAATTGTAGCAACACAGCGGCGCAGTCGACGTTGCCAGTGCGAGCGACTGAGTGCAATGCTGTCAACCCCTCCGGATTACAGGCGTTGGGTTTCGCGCCAAATTCAAGAAGAAGTCTGAGCATATCGGGCAGTCCTGCAAACCCCGCGGCCGTCAGGGGACTGCTTCGGAAGACTCCCTTCGGCAACCTGGGGTTCGGGTCACCGCCGGCTTCGAGGATGAGACGTAAACAGGGGATATTATGACTGTCGACTGCATGGAGTACAGTTGTTCTGCCTGTCATGTCCATACTGTTGGGGTCCGAACCATATCTTAAAAGGGTACGGACGTCCTCTAATTGGGCCCTGGCTGTTGCCCAATCCAGCGCCGTGCGTCCTTGTATATCTGTGGCGTGGACAGCATGTGGGTTTTCCTCAAGCTCTGTGGTCAAGGGATGCGAAGACAGACCAAAGATAATCCGATGGATTAGAGGGAAGTTCTGCTCTCTGAACCACTCATTATCACCATCTTCTGTGATACAGCGCAGGGCTCTCTCTTCCTTATCGTTGCATTTACCGCGGAAGATGAAGTCCCAGACGTTATCATATGAGCTGTTGAGACTTGTAAGTGGGAAGTCTGGCTATTGTAGTAGATTCACCTACTCTTCATCCACAATAGCCCCTTGGCCAATCAAGAACTGAACAGTTTCGTACTGATGCATTCCCCCATAAAGCGCCCACTAAACCTTTTCTTAGCATCCTGTGTGTCATAGGAATTTGTGTCACCGACTTACTCGCACCAAAGTAAACCCCCTGGAGTTACTGACATCCCTTGGGGTTGCTAAGCCTTCACTGAAAAGGTACTTGAGGCCCTCAATGTTCCCTTGCATGGCGAAGATGACTGACTGAGCATTATCTGGTACTCTCCTTGAGGTCGATAACTGTAGCTGTGGCCCCTGGCCTGCGAGGTCTCTGAGGTAGAACCTCAAATTCATCGACATAAACCACCAGGGCAGCCAATATTCCATTGTGACGGCGGGTGTCTGTTGATCTTTGCAACCTCTAAAATCACATCGCTTCTTGAGCACGGGTAGACCCGTATAGCCCACAAATATCTTACCAAATAGACTCTCCATGACTCCTGGAATTGTCATTCTCGCCTTTTGCTTTCTATGACAAACACAGGGACAGCTTCGACAAGAGAATGAATGAGAGAATTGAACCCGGAGCATCTCCTGATGAGATGATCCAGTACTTTCCTTGTCAGGCGATGGCTGGCTGTAACCAGGTAACTGCCCCGCTGGCAGCTTTTCTGTAAGTAAAAGCTGGCCAAGTTCTTCAAGACGGTTGTTCAAGCCCTGATATTGTTGGTCCATTCGAGTATGGATTGCAGCCTGATGATCCTCAAGAGCCTGGTTCACTGTGTGGATGTAAGATTCCTGTAGCTGACCACCATTTGAAGTCAAGACAGAGACCTGACGGAGCTCGAGTAGGATCTGCTGTAGATCACGCCTAATCATGTGATGAGTCCAGGGGAAAGAAATGGAATGACGGCCACCAATGAGACTTATTAGTACGTACGAGTTCGAGGCACCCAGGAGAACATTGAGACTTGCTTTGGCGGCTCCTATGTCAGTGTGAAACTCGTCAAAGAGTTCCTTCTCCCTGAGCCAGATGGCAGTTTTACTGATGATCTTGGTTTTGCCTCTGGCACATGCATATCCCACACGCTCCAGGGCCTTTGCAAGGTCCGCGAGACGACCCTTGGTCCGCGCCAGTAGCTGGTGCAATGATTCTTGGTCTGGGGCTGATTGGGAGGCATCCTGTTGCAGCAAGCATGCGACCTGACGAAGTACTATCTCGAGATCTGTGATCTCATTTCGCAAGGCGTAAACCCGGACGGGTACTTCGCCAAAGGCCCGCAAGCGGGAAATCGCTTTGCATATCTGTGCGGCGGCGGCGGCAACGGCAATGACACTGGCAACGGGTGACAGCGGGTCGGCCATATTCAAATCATGGTTTGTGCTGTACTGTACAGTGCTCGCACCGGTGACCGAAGGTTTGCTAGTAACTTAATATATGATTCCGCGAGGCGGTGCCTTGCTGGCATGCAATCAGCGCGTTGGATTCACAATCAATGCTGAGGGGTTGATTACGTGGCAACAATTCGTTTTGCGAATCAGATAATGTCTGTAAGCGCCGTAGCTGCGGGCATGCTGCAATCTTTTGTTCAAGTGGTCAGGCTTGCAAGGAATATGCCAGTGCTAGTTAACATTAGCGCTAAGCTAGTAGTTGACGCCAGACTGCGGCGAGACCCGGCGTGCTCTTCTGAAACACTGTATTAGCAAGGCACCCAAGGTGGGTGAGATGCCGAAAGGAGACCCGATGCACCTATCTTTGGAATTTCCTACCCCCGAGGGCCTCCTGTAACCTTCCGTCACTGCTCAAGCCCGGGGCTTTATAGATGGTCCCACTTCTGAAAACCTAACTGTAATCTAGTGTTGCAGCGCCACCGCACCCATCTTCATCCACCCGAGCATCCTTACCCCGAATTGGAGAACCCTTGCTCAAATACACTTCTAGATGGTTATGATCATCCGAAGCTCTGACACAGTCTGCATGCAATGCATTGGAGACTTGATGATCTCGAACAAGTACGCGAGGGCATACTTCCTGACACGGTCACTGGAGTATATCAGAACGCCCTTCACCCGCAATGCCTCACGCATGAAACGGCTCCGCCATGAGTATCAACGATAATTTCTCCAGGACATCACTGCAGTATAACAAACGCAAACGAAACTTCGAGCCCTTCCTAATACTGCACAAAAGATATAATCAACAGTACCCAAGCCCCGGCAACAACCACAGTCTAGGAATAACGCCCTTTATGTACATACTGTTCTATTTGCACGTCAGAAGACCGCCTGCTCGCGCGGCTGTTCCTCCGCCGAGGAAAACAGCGCCCGCGTGCGGCTCATGGTGCTCCGCTTCTTGCGGTCCTTCTTGCGGTCCTTCTTCTTGCCGCTCTCCAGGGGGCTCTGATTCTCCTGGTGGGCGTGGGGGTGGTCCTCCGACACCACCACCGGCTGCTGAACCTCGGCGTAATCCGGGAGCGGCTCGTCTGCCACCGGCTCGGGGAGGGGGTCTTTCTCGGCGATGGGATCGGGGTCTGTGGCTGCAGGCTCCTCCTCGTGGATGACCGTCGTGTAGCCCCATTCCCTCGTGCGGGCTGCCCAGCTCCCCCACCCGTTCCAGGTGTCATCTGCGGCGGGCTCGAGCGGTTCAGCACGGTTGTATCTGTCATCATCGTCGTCGTCGGCGGCGGCGTCGTGAGGGATGGGCTCCTCCTCTTTAATCGGCTGCTCGATGGGCGTGTATCTCTCGGCTGGGAGCTCTTCTCCGTATTCCTCGGTGCGAGAGCCAGCGGCAGCGGCAGCGGCAGCAGTAGTATGGGTGTCTTGAAAATCCTCGATCGGTTCTTCCGCCACGGACACAGGATACCCCTCCGAGACATGGGCACTGGACGGCGGTCGCTCGTCGATCAAGTCCTCCGCATGTGCTTCCAGATGTTGTCGCTCATACACCCCTCCTCCTCCCTCTACCTCGTCCATCTCATCCAACGCCACCGTCCGCTCATCCGGATACTCCTCCGCGATATCCTCCAACCCGGCCACGACCGCACTCCTCTCATCTCTCACTCCGGCATTCCTCAGATCCTCATACCTATCATCCCGCTGCTGCAACCCACCCCCACCCCCATTTCGCACGGCCCTCTTCTCCAACTCCGCGATCCTCGCCTCGTAGATCCAGACCAGCGCCTGCACCAAGAACCGATCGAACCCCGTCTCCGCGCCCAGCAGATACTGGAACCGGGGGCGCTCGAAGAGATCGCGATCCTCGACGAAGGCATCGGCCATCTTGCCGCGGACATAGACCTCGAAAAACCAGGGGTCGTAGTCCGGGATCGTCGACCCTTTGCCGCCCCCGTACACCTTCCGGGCGACGCCCAGCACGTCGAAGATGCTGAGGTGGGTGTCCAGCTTCTGCAGGTACTTGCGCGCCAGGGTCTGCAGGCCCAGCAGCTCGTAGCGGGCCGCCGCGCCGTAGACGAGCACGCTGCGCCGGTACTCGGTCTTGGTCCAGTCGCTGCCCCCCGCGGGCCGCAGCGTCTGGTAGCTGCCCGTGTGCAGGTAGTGGACGACCGTGTGGATGAGGTCGTCGTCGACGTCCGGCAGGGGGATGCAGGGGACTGTCTTGGTGATGAAGTGCGGGTACGTGCTGAGGATGTCGGTGAAGATCGGGGACTGGCGGAGGTAGTACTCGGGCACGGAGTGTTTGCGTTCGTGGGGGCCCAGGAGGAGGATCACGCGGCGGGATTCGTAGGGGCTGTGTTTTAGAGGCTGGGGTGTTAGGGTTTGTTTCTGGGGAAGAACGGGGACGCACGTACGAGGATTCGGGCTGGTCGTATTCTTCCACTTCTACTTCCACGGAGTCATCACCGTTGATTCTTGATGAGGATGAGGTTGATTTGGGTGGTGCGAATCGGACGGATGGGCCATGCGTGCCGTTGCTTTGGACAGCCATCTTGTTTCCGTGATGATCGACTTGTAGCGCTCTCCTTAGTCGTCGTACTTCTCTCGTCACTCGCTTTGTTCAGGCGCGGTTCGTCGCGTTGCTCGCAGCGTCAAATTCACCTCAAGTGTCGCTCGCTTGCTAAGTAGATGCCGACCCCAATAAAGCCTCGTACTCGAGAATTGCCGTAGAATTCGGAGAATATTCTCCTCATACTCCAGAACGAGGAGCCTTGACAGCTTATACCCCCCCCCCCCCCCCCCCCCCCCAAAGCCGTCGTGCTAAACGAAACCCAGTTCCTGCCTTATGAGCTGTTCATACATCGTGGAGCCAATGGCTGCGCTCCACATCAATGACTAAGGTACCTGGACGGTGTTTCGCCTTGCGCCATCTCTGCATGTCATTGGACGGAAGCATATTGCCTGACATTGATGTACTAGTAGTCTGCGAGTTAGGCTGGTTTCAGCAGCCAGGGTGATCGGGTGGTGGTGGTGGAGGTGGTGAGTGAGTTGGCGCGTGGGATGCGGGGTTGATCGCTGATGTGGCTGTCTGCTTATCATCCCATCCGTGCTGGATGCCGCTTGGTGGCTGGGATTTGTATTCGGCACCGTCAATTAGAAACCTGCTCGGGGGCTTGGAAGCTTGATTTTGTTTTGCATGGCAGTGTGACGAAGACGTTCGATGTGAACAGGTCGTAAATTTCCTAGAGTAAATCGTATCGACCAGCTCCCTGCCTGTTTGCCGGTCGCCTCTTCGCTTAGATTGCTAGAACAGCCAATTCTTTTTGATATATACTCCATGTATTCACCCTGTGACCAACTCGTAATCACGGCGCGGCCGAACCAAAAAGAACATTGGCAGCGACAATCCAACCAAAGCAGCAGCCACAATGAACGGGAGCCCTGTGTACTCAACCCCAAACTGCAGTCCCAGAGCGAAAGCACCAGAATAGATTGGTCCTGCCAAAGAGGTGCTCAGAACGTGAAGGATCGTGAAGATCGAATACACCACGCTGATATCCTCGGAGGAAATCGTCATGGTCACTAGCGACCGCAGGGCCGAGTTAAGTCCTCCCGTGGCGGATATCAGAATGACCCCTGCATATACCAGATTACCAGATGAGTCGATGTGGCTAGAGGTAGAGAGAGCAAGCATAATACCTATGGTAGAAATTGGTATGGATACACCCAGTCCGAGCAACAAGGTCCCCAGGCTGAGCATCGTTGCACTGGCAAGGGCAATTGCAAAATCCGTCTTGGAGGTAGTTGAACCAGCACGCGAGAGAAGCATCCGGCTGATTCGTGGGAGCAATACGATAAGACACACAAATCTAACTGCCTCTCCTAACGACCACAAGAAATTGGCCTGTTGGGTTTGTTAGCTTATTCATACGACGACCAGAATAAGAACCCTTGAAAGACATACTTGAGCGAATTCCCAGTTGTATCTCTTCGAGATGTAAAGGAGTAGAGCCATGGGAAGCGAGTCTTCCCCGAGTTGGCCCAAGAAGGACATCCCCAGTAAAATGACAAGCGAGGTGTTGCCATACACAACCCTCGCCCCTTGGTGGAGTTGTTGGGTTGTTTGGACAAGACGAGATCTTATACTAGCGGGCTCCTTGATAGAGGAGCCACTCTCCTGAGACACAGTGCTCATATGGTCGTCAAGATACTGTCCGGGATTCAATGCTGTGTGCTCATCCGGAGGATTCTGGGTAGTGGCTGGGTGTAGCTCTGACGGGGTAGTCAATATGGCAAGGAGAAGGCAGAATAACCCCAAAAGCCACGGCACCCAGACATGATGGCTCATAAGGAGTGAGCTGCCGAGTAGGGCCAGCACGGCTGCTGCAATCGCCATGGCGCGAATGAAGAAAAAGGTTGTGGTTCGTTTCTCCTCCGTGGCGGCTTCAGCAGCCAGGATGTGGATCATGGTGATGACAATGCCGGGACCACCTCCAATGATTTCGAATACAGGGGCCAGGAGAATGAGGCGGATTGGAAATGTGTTCGAGAACCAGCATATCAGAAAACTCCATGCTTCTTCACAGAGGACGCCGAACAATGCTAGTCGGAGGGAGAGACAGCGGCCGTATCGCTCGGCGAAGATACTCCATGGAATCACTAAGATGGCTGTCGCAGGTCAGCACAGGATACCGAGCGAGGGGTGAACAGGGGGTGGAAGAAGTACTTGGTAGTGCCCCTAAAACTCTCTCTGTCCCCTTGAGGAAGGCCAATCCCTCTTGGACATCTTTGTCTTTGCATCTGGCGCTCGATAGTGGTGTAGTGGCATTATTTGGGAGAATCTGATCGCACAGAATGGACTCGTAGATTTGGGTGCGTGGACCTGATTGGATGTTTTCGCCCAGGAAGAAGAGGAATGCTGTTAGAAGTAGTGGTAGAAGGACCCGAGTCGATCGGGAGGGAACATTATGCTGTGCCATGTCTGGATCAAATCCTGGGAGAGAGCGGAAGGGGGGAAGAGCCATTGGTATTTGATTCGGAGGTGGTGAGGGAGCTCAATCACGCCTTCGGCGATAGCGCGGACTCCGGCCATTGGTGAGTAGTAGCATGTAGTAGGATGGGTACTAGAAGCAAGTAATATAGCATCACGAACAATCTCGGATACATTTTTTACTTTGCTAAACATACCTAGAGATTCATATTTTACCTGGACTTTTGCCGAGGTGAGAATCTAGTGTAATGTACACACTGTACAGACAGTTTCCTTACAATGCAATGATGCCTAGGCTACCGGCTATAACTGGTCTACCCATTTTGTAGTCAAACATCATAACCTACTAGGGAGACTACTCTTCCTCTAAAGGGTTTACGAAGCTATCCAATTTCGAGGCTTTATAGCTCCTAAACTCCGTGTCTCCTCCTGACCAGGTAAGATATGCTCCCTAAGCACCACCTTTGGTGCAACTCGCCTACTGTTCTTCCCAAACCAACGCGAGAAATCGAAGAAGCGCCAAACACACCCAGTCCCGACGCATCTGTTCCGAAGAACGCGAGAAAAAAGGTGTACTGAACTTTCGGTTACATCTGCGGGATATTTGATATGGGTGGTTATGAGAGCGAATAGACTGAAGCCTGACTTGCTCAACTCTTTGCCTATCTTTCATATTTAAGATAATACTCCCAACGTAGTCTGTGGTCGTCCTCAATCTGATCACGCCGGATCTATAGACACCCCGCTCTGCTCTATAAAACCCAGCGGGAGAAAGTGAATGCGTAAGTACAGACACGATGCGATCTTGAATTATACAATCGTTAGTCACGTAGTACGTACCATGCAGTGCTCAGCAACCTGTAGACCAGAAGGGACGCCCATCAGCACGATCATCCGCAAAGATGTGGAGGGGTTTACCGACATGATCACACAGACAACTGCGCCACGGATCCTCGGGGCAGGCGTCGATTCCCTCATACGCAAAGTGGTCTTCACATTTGACTTGCTACATCCCAATTAGCCTAGGTGCCCTCCAAATATCTTATTCTTCCGTGACGAACCTCTGCATTGCAGGTCAGCTCTATGCTGGCGCATATATCCAGTCGCTCGGTGGCGGTGGGGATGGCTGCTGTCATTGCGGCGAGGAGGGTAAGAAGAAAAGCTACTGTAGTTCTCATCTTTTCCCCTTCGCTTGTACTCTCAAACTGGAAGTGAGTAGTGGTTTAAGTGTGTGTTCGAGAGAGAGAAGGGTACAGGGGAAGTTGAAGTGTTCAGGGCTCCCTTTATATGATTCTCGCAACGCGACACTCTCGTGCAGCGATCCAGGCGCCAGAACTCCCCCGAAAATAAGGTTGTGAAGAAAGGGGCCCCGCACCCCCTAGTGGAGATTCACAACGCAAATCTTCTGGTCTGTTATAAGATCGTGCAGTCTAGCCCTTGAGCCTGGCCCCCTTACCTCAAAACTAGGCTACCAGCGATTCACAATCACGTTCGCCGACTCACAATCAGATGAACCTGAGAACTGGGGTTGAGCGTCAGGAAGGCTACCTTAAACACAAAAGCAAGAGGGCTCTGTGCCCCTGCAATCAGACAAGACTTGGTTTAGCATTGAGATCGACTCTCACAGTCGTTCAGCATATGGCTCTTCAAATTCAACAATGTGCGAGAGGACAGATTGATTGTTTCTGGATGATTAGGTTCAGCCCTACGTGTCTACCAAAGCAAATCAGATAATGGAATGCCGATGACATGATAAGAGTGTTACCACTAAGCTAACCCACATGGGGATATGGTAGTGAACACCTACCGATGATTTAAACCATCAACTAAGCAGTAGCTCCAACCCTCATCGCTAGCTCTCTCATTATCCACATCCTTCGTTTCTGCGAGTTATGCTTAGGAGCCAAGGGACATCACCCTCCCCGGAATTGCAACCAGTTGGAGTCCGCCAGCGCGAGGCTATTTGCCGCGACGGGAAGAGAATAGAATTACCATTCGTTCGGCAGAAGGACGTAGTACAATAACGACGGCTCTTCTCTTTCTGCTAGGATTTGCCATGCACATGTACTTCCAGCTACCTTGTCATGTTTTGTAAGCAGTGAAGGACCGGATGAAGAGTCAGAAAGGCCCGCTCAATCCGGGATTGTTGGACCCGTATCAACCCTCGACCCACAGACACAATGCATGAGCGACCCGGAAAACATGAGCCTCTTGAACGAGACCAAAGAAACCCTTTGTTGTCCACCTGCTGCTCGATCGCTCGGACAGACCCACTAACAGAATTCGAGAAGATACCAAGCTCATGAGAAGAACTCCGTCTCCGGATGCAGTTACACCGCTCATGTACCATGGCAGCTGCTTATCATATTCCATCGCGTGCTCACAACGCGTGGTGGTACAACAGTATGCGGCGAAGTGTATGGTATGCTCTACAACTTTCGCCCTCCCTCAACAAAAGAAAGCTCCGCAATGGGCTTATATGGGATAGATGTTTGATCGACGTCGGTGATTTGTTGTACTAATACACCCCTGACACACGCGAATGCGGGTTGCTATGCTAGTGGGTGGACCAGCTGAGCGAATTGGGAGGGGTTTTTAAGGGAGGAAGGGGCGGGGGTTTAAGTCTTCATACTGATAAGGTGTACTAGGTAGTCACAAGCTATGGGCAATATTGTGGTTAGATTCACCTTTCGCTTTGTTGAGTATTCAGATGTAGGATACTGGACTTCGCTACTTTGCCTTGGCTAGCTTACCATGAGTAATATTCGAGCCCGTTCTTGGATGGAGAATCCCGGCCAATTAAGCTTTTAGCTTTTAAATTTAGTTTACATCCATGTGGCAATGAATATTTGCACCGGGGAGGAAATAGTATATTAGTGTGGCGTAGTACGGAGTTTGATCCTTGGTCAGAATAACATTGGATGTAAATAGTACCTTACTTGAAATCTGGTTCTCTCGATATTATCTTTCAATCCCCAGGCGTAAACACTGGGATATATACAAAGGATTTGATTGTAAATCACAAAACATAACTTCATACTCATAATTCATGAATCGTCACATAAACAAAGCTTCGCCTCAATTGGGAAAATGAAAAAGGATGTAGTGTGTCACGAGTCGAGTCGTGACAGCGGGTTGTTGAGGTTGTTCGGCCACGACTCATACGACTCGATGTTATTAAGCCACAGCCTGTGCTTGCGGCTGGAATGTCGTCTGCTGCGAGGCTATCAGCCGTCGCAAGCCGAACATGGATATATGATGGCGGCTGTGTTTGACGGAGGGTCGTGGTTTTTCTGAGGCACGGTGGGAGGACATGCGCACTAAACCATTGTCGGGCATGGAGTTGTTGTCGGCATCGCGACGCCGCACCATGGCTTTGACAGCCTTGGTGATCTGGGTGCGGATGGGAGTGGAGTCCGAGTCGCGCCGGCTTGTAGAGTGGCGCTGATAGTATTCTCCGTCGTCGTCCTCTTCGTAGGTTTCGCGACGATATCGTGCGTTGTCTTCTTCTTCGGCTGCGACGCAGCGACGGAAGATGTGGTGGTGACCCAGACACCGACGGAGGTCTGGGGTTTGAGATTCAGTTTCACGCTGGAGTTTTCCCCGAGAGATTGCGGCCAGTTTCCCTGGGATGGCCGGTCGGTTGGCCAGGGGGCCAAGAGTGGAACTGAGACGAGGTGCGGTGCGACGGATGACCGCCGCGGGGATGCGGAAGAATTCAGCCGAGGAGGACATTGAGAGAACAGGAGTGTGTTCAAGATGTTACACGGGATTAGGGTTCAGTCCAGTGCATGAGGAGTTGAGAGTCCCAGATCAAGCGGGTCATGATGGCTTTATATCCCCAAGGTTGGATATTCCAAATTTGAGCAGTGTTGTGATCGATTCCATCGATATTGTCAACATCATTTCTCGAACCTTGGACTGCACAGTGGTGGTCCGTGGTTGAAGCATGCAGACAAGCTTGTGAATCGCAGAGCTCCCCCCGCTGTAACGTCAGAGCTGAACTCAATCGACGCGCATGTGGAATGTGAGCAAGTTGTTTGGGGCGGCGTTTCTCGGTGCGGTGCTTGACTGCTGAAGTGCTTAGTGAGCGTGGCGACCAACAACAGCCTTGCCCTGCCCGGCATTCTTGATATCATTACCGCGCCCTTGTAAATGCTTTGATTCGTAAGCCCCTCCCCTCCCAAGCAAGCAGCCCCACAGTAATCACCTTCTTTTCCTTCTTTTCTCCGCAAGATGGAGACTGTTAGTGGAGTTTGGAGAACGCATTGGCTCGTCCCTTTTGTCACGTTTCATAAACCCCACGAAACCTGCTACCGGCATTGCATCCCGCCGCTCAAGGATCTCACCACCAGTAGATCGGGTGCTGGGTGATCGAGATCGAGTAATCGAGTGCCTGATCACTAACTACCCCATCGCGCTCCACCTTAATTCTCTGCTGCTCATAGACTGTCAGTATTCGATGTTCGGGTGATGTCTTGCAATTGTTAACGCCGAACGGTCCCTTTTCCGTCCAATTATGGTATAGTAGGGCTCGAGTCCATGACGACGACTATCATATGCACCGCGTAAGGCCATGAATTCCAGATGACTATCCGCCCCCTTGAGAATTGTCAGGGTTCATTCTACAGCCCACACAGGCCGCGTGTCGACGACGGTAGAAGCAATGGAATGAATGACCGACCCCGATAAGATAGTCAAAGCCATTGATGAAGTAATTGAAGGTTGTCATGCGTTCGCGCTCAACATGAAGCTTGCAACTAATTGCACCAGAGTCAGCAGTTTGGAACGCAGCAACTGTTCCTGTCCCTGTACCAGAAACTCACCAGATCTCTAGGTGGTGCCTATCTCCTTGCCGTGGATGCCTTACGGTGCCATTCCCGTCAAGTAGTCAGCCACCCGCCAGCCACTGGAACTTTCCAATGACTCTCATAGTGACACAAATGTGACTATGGCACTGCACCTCCAATAGGACGATCATGCACCTCCTACTCGACTGAACCTTTGTCTTCTGACACCTGTGACAGTGATCAGCCCTATAGTAGAGCTGAAATGACGTCGTGGCAGCGTCGTGGCAGCGTCGTCTTGAACTGAAACCCCGATGATCGTCGAGCTGACACGAACCACGAGTTAAAATTCCTTGCTCACAGAGTTGGTGATCATCACTAATCGAAATAGTTTGATGATCCATGATGCAATGCATGAGGCAAATTGCCAAACTCTATTTTCGGGATAGTATAAGGTATAGAACAGAGCCTCCTTTTCCCCGGAGTGAGTCTTCCCCCGCATGCACGGTTATAAAAGGTGTCAGCTGCTTTCGAGAAAGGGCTTGCAGAGCAGACTCCTTGATCAAAAGCCTTGCCTGACTCAGTTCATGATATGGTCATGTTAAGTGGCAGATGTTTTGCATGTCTTGTAATGACATCAACGCTTTGTGTCCGCACCAGCAGATTCTAGCATCGTCTAAAAGCCATGCAGGTGCTGATCAATGTCTCTGTTCGATTCTTTCTGGCTGGTGGGAGGACATACGTATCTGCGTATCTTTTGGAGCATGCAGCAGATTCCTAAATTGAATGAGGGATTTATCGCCGATGACAATAGTCTACATTACAGTGCTCGTGCCTCCCCTAGTGGCGTCACTATTTTACCATGATGTTTTGTGCCTCGATTGCCGACTGTGGAATTCGGAGAACCGACTCATAAGCGCAATCTCGTGCTTCGTCTTCTCCCTGTGTCCAATTTCCGTCCTTTGCTGCGCTCATATGCTCATGACATTTTCTTCTGAAACATGGTTCTCAGTTACCATAGACAGTACCACATCTCACATCAGCCGAGGCTGGTGGATTTGCACTGTCAACACTGCGTGTCCGTGCGGCAGCTTCGGGAGCGAACGAGATTAACTGAGATGTACTGTGATGTACTTCTCTTGATAACCTAGGAGAATCTAGTCCACAATCTCAGTCACCATGAACGGACCCGAAAAAAAAAGATTCATGACTGATATCGAGGCAATGCCGCGCAGGAGAGCATCCCATTGTTCACAATGTAGCGCTGGATATCTGGGTCTCCCACTTCTCCAAATTGGAGAAAGAGATCAACTAAGATGCAGGAGGAAATGCCAAGACTGCACGTCGGTAGTCTAGCAGGCTCATAATGTCTGCCTCGGCTAGTTCTAGCGGGGACGCGATAAATACATCCGTTTATTCTGCAGGCCAGCTCTCAGGATAGATTCTGCTTGCTCATATATCCATGATGCTGAACAGGCCACAGAGGTTACGAACGATCAGCCAAGTAGTCTCATATACCAGGAGATATATGTCTCGTTTTCGCGTTGTTGAGCACACAGCCCGGTGTCAGAATGTCCGGGAGCGTCTGGGTGCTGTGAAAGCCGGGCATGAGAATGAGCTGAAACTTGCCGTCAAGCAGTACATCCCACTTGATAACCCTTCTCCGCAAGAAGGAGATATCACGATAATTGGGGCTCATGCAAATGGTTTTCCAAAGGTATCGCTACATCTTCTTCATCGGGCTGTCTTTTCTACGCAACTTATTCGTGGTTCAGGAACTGTATGAACCTCTATGGGATGATATTCACGAGGTACTCCGAAGTCACAAGAGACGCATTCGATCCATTTGGATCGCGGATGTTGCTCATCAGGGACAGAGCGGTATCTTAAATGAAGCAATTATAGGTCATGATCGTGAGTTTTTTCGCTCCATGGATATCACTAAGCGATCCAATTTACTAAATATCAAATACCCTTTCTAGCTGACTGGTTTGATCACGGACGTGATCTTCTTTCCATGATAAACCAGTTCCAAGACCAGATCCCGCAGCCGCTTATTGGGATCGGTCACAGCATGGGCGGGATGCAACTGTGAGTTCAAATCACGGTTTCATTCTTCGCTTCCAATCCAAAAGCCATATTACTAACTGTACCAGAGCTCATCTCTCACTGATCCACCCCTCGTTATTTGAGGGTCTTGTCTTGGTCGATCCTGTGATCCAGCGCGAGAACCCCGGGCGCAAATACGCCGAGGCGTCCACGTACCGACGAGACATATGGCCCTCACGTCAACAAGCAATCGAAAAGTTCCAGACCAGTCCATTCTACCAGGCATGGGATCCCCGCGTGTTCGCGAAATGGATCCAGTACGGACTCCGAGATCTCCCCACGCCACTGTATCCCATTACCGAGGAGACCGGGCCGTCGGCCGTGACCTTGACTACGACGAAGGCACAAGAGCTTTTCTACTACATGCGACCGTCTTACATCGACGAGCGATCCGGTCTCCCTCGCGGCTATCCCGAGGAAGAAATGCACCCCGACGACGTCGACAAAACTTATCCATTCTATCGCCCCGAGCCCGCGTGGATGTTTCGGCGATTACCGGAGCTGAAGCCCGCTGTTCTCTATCTATTTGGAGACAAGTCGGATCTGTCTTCGTCGACCGCTCGTCGAGAGAAGGTGGAGAGTACTGGCACGGGTGTCGGAGGCAGTGGCGGCGCGGCTCGTGGACTGGTCCAAGAGGTCGTTCTTCCTTGCGGTCATATGGTTCCCATGGAGCGTGTTCGGGAAAGTGCCGAGACCAGTGCTTCCTTCATTGCCGCTCGGTTATCGGCTTGGGAGTTGAAGGTTTCACGGTTTCGCGAGGCCTGGGAACGAGTGCCCCATTTGGATCGGATCAGCGTTGACCGGCAATGGGAGAGGGAAATCGGTGCTTTACCTAAGCGGTCTAAGTTTTGAATTTGGGGATGTGGAGGCTCTAGGGCGTGCGAGCTTTCAACCAGTCAGCATGTACCCTAGTAGATTTTGGGAATCGGGACGATCGAGGAGAACAAGTGCGGGCATCGTCAGTGGAGATAAGCGGACAGTGGGCAGGGATCTTACGCTGAAATGACTCCCCCGCATGTCACTGACAGGGCGTGAGGGTTGGACTCCACTTGAACTTCGGCGCCGGTAGCCATAGGGAATACAATAGCATTCTGAAACGATGACACTAACTTGCTTTGCTTCTACCGGCTATGAGCTAACTTTCATATTTTCGCTCATTACCCCGATTTGCTTGGCGATTGCGATCATATTCTCCGTGCTCGGTCTCCAAATGTGTAGCGATTCTGTGTTCTGGGTCATCTGGCCTATATAAACATTCTTCTAGTTTGTTTACAGAGAGATTGCTGGAGAAGCTTCCGAATAGGACATACGAACAGCTTCTCTGACTTCTATATACGCTTGAGTAACCTGAAATGTTGTCATGCTGAGGAGGGGGGTCCTGTTCGGTTGCAGATAGGTCTTAATATATATGTTGCAGAGGCGGCTACGTCATCAGGCGTGAATTGCATAAAATGTATGTTTTACGCTGTTAATGATTATTAGAAGAGATGAGTTGATTAAGCACGACTCCGGCCAGGTAAAGATGCACAACAAAGACAAGCATACTACTAGTAGGTATACCGGTACGCGATCAAATACTTCTACTTTTGAGTTGTTGCGCCAGGTGCGCTCTGATTGGGCCGGAATGTTCAAATAAGTTCTTAGCACCGGACACTAAAACCACCACGGCACCAAATCTATACAGCTGTCAACAAACCCGGCCACCAAGTCTCCGTGTTGATTCTAGGCCCTCAAGCTCTTGCGCCATAGGCCTTATACTGAGTGAATATTGATTTGAAGCCTTTGGTAAGAAAACTCTTCTCTGATTTTCAATTATCAGTATACAACGCTTGGATCAGTGGACGGATCTGTTCTTTGCAGTAACAACATATTGCAATTGACTTTTCCCACCTCACAGTTTCACATTTTTTTCCCGCTGTACGGATACTCTCCGCCTTTCTTGGCACCCATCAAAACAAGGATTTACTGAGTGGGAAGAGAATCGCAAAAGATACAAGATCAATTTTTGTACTCGGCGCGCACGCACAGCCTACCTTTACTTTGCATCTACACAAACGCAACCAGCTGGTTTCAACAACACCCAACCAAAAACTGCGAAGAATAAAAATCAACATGTCCGACGCCACACCCACCTGCACCGTCCCCAGCTGCCAAAAGCCCGGCACCCTCCCCTGCTCCGGCTGACACCCCAGCCAGCAGGCCCGCTACTGCTCGTCGACCTGCCAAGCGGCCGACTGGAAGCGCGGCCACCGCCGCACCTGCGCCGGCGCCCAGAAGCACAAGTGCTTCCTGATCCGCGCCCTTCCCATCACTACCAACACCACCACCACCACTGACCCAAACCAACCCCCCAAAGACGCACACTACCTCGAGCCCTTCCCCCTCGACGCCTACGGGGACTGGGGCAAGGAGCGCCAGGAGATCCAGGCGCGACTGAACTGGACCGCAGTCTACGAGTCGGGCACGTTCTTCTCGCACCAGAAGACAAACGACTGGCACTATCACGTGTACGCGGCGGCGGCGGCCGGAGAGCTCCTCCCTATCAACCCCCCTGCGACGAGGTGTCTGAGCGAACGGGTGCGCGGGGACGTGGTGGTGGTGCGGTCCTCGGCGACCGATGTGAATGACTACGAGGAGGCGTTCTCGGCGACGGAGCTGGCGCGCACCCTGGGTTACTATCGGACGGTGGAGGATGTGAAGGCGGAGCGGGAGAGGAGGGAGAGGGAGCGCATCGCGGCCAAGTTCGGGTTGGATGAGAAGATGTTGCCCCCGAGGATCGTGATGACTATGCCTTGATTTTTGGGTCTTGGTTTTTGGGAAGAGGGGGGGTGGCGATAGGGGTTTGGGGTTGGAGGTTTGGGATCAAGTATGCTGCATGGAGTGCTGGACTTTGTTGTTGTTGTTGTTTGGCTCTCTGGTTTGTGGGTGGGTGGAGTGTCAGCCACTGTCTAGACCGAAACCTCAGATGCGAACCGGCTGCAGTACGGAGTACAACTTTTGCTTAGTTAGGTGCAGTACGATAAACTTCTATCACGTTCTTCACAGCTTGCAGGTGCAGGTGCAGGTGCAGGTTCAAATACAGCTGAGCAGGGACCAGGGGGCCCGCTTCAAGCGCGGTTAACGACATCCTATTTTTCAGTCCCCCTTGTACAATCTGCTACCGCGCTGCAAGGGATCCCATAGGATCGCTGGGCCTTGAACATTCGCATCCAGTGATATTCATGGCAATGAAAAGCAATGACCGACTACTGTACCTACTTCACCGACCTATATTACTACTCTAATCGCAGTAGCTAAGGTAGTCAAGTGCAAGTGCAAGTGCCCATCTGTACCTGCAGTTCAATCCTGCATTTAGCTACCGATCAGGGTAAATGCACCCACGCGAGTGTTTTCCTGGGGAGTTCTCATGTAAGTTTGTCCCTGGTTTCAGTTGCATCTGCTGAATCACGGTCTCACCGACAGGTCCGGTGTGAAAGGACCCTGAAGACCTGCAGCTCCAAGGTCAAGAAAAAAGCAACGCAGTACAATAGCAATTGCTGCTTTTGTTCTTTTACTCGCTGAAGAATATTTTCTTCTTCTTCCTTTCCCACCCTTTGGATGAATATCGTCAGACTAAAGTTAGTAGTTGCACGCCAGCGAAGAATTTAACCGAGCGATCTACGCGGAGTATGGGGGGTCGAGTTCTTCCGAAGGGGAGACTTTCATGCACTCCGGAGGTACTGTACTGTATTCGTGCAGATGACGGGCATGCGGTGTGAAAGAGATGGATTACACGATTCGTTGTTAGTGCGATCTGTGATTTCAGCCCGCTACATAGGTTAGTAAGTACAAGCTGAAGGCAATATTTTCGAGGAATACTGCAAGAGAGCGCCAAGTGCGATGGCTTTTTCGGCTCCTGCTACTGAGGATCATCCATCCGTCGGGTTGATTCCCCCCCGTGTCGATCATGAGCGAAACTCGCGAATCGGGTTTGAGTCGTACTGTTTGCTTGTACGCCAGTCGTTGGGCAAGCGAATACTCATAAAGTTTCTACAGTTTTGGGGGTGTGATCGGGTGGTTGTGAGTTTACTTGCGACAAGTAACTAGACTTTGTCCCAGGGCGACAGTATCCATCGCTGTCTCAGGGTTGAACGCCGAGAGACTCAGGAAGACTTCCCGTTGGTGATGACGATGATCATCCTCACCATGGGGACCCATAATACTGCTCGGCTCGGGATCTAGGGGAATTGGGAAGGCAGAACGGACTATCAATATGTCATTGTTCGATGCTGTAGCTACCATGTGAAAGTGAGTCACGCTGCGTGAAGACTGTCTGTCTATCTGTCACTGACAGACTGATTTTCGCGATGTTGCTTGCTTTTTTTTTCTTCGTCTCGACTTCCAATCGGGGATCTTATTGCTGCGGACGTGCCCCTCGTGGGACTAAAGTAATCTACTAATGTACATACTGCTTAGTTGATGCAGATGGGTACCATCTCGATCGGGTCAATGCAAGGATTGGACGGGGGCCGACGGGGGGGGGGGGGGACTCCCCGATCGCAGAAGGGAGGTTTTGATGATTTTGGGTCATGGTTGTGCTCAGTAGCTGAAGAGGGGCTGCAGGAGGTTGAGAGGGGGAGGGGGTTGTCTTGTCTAGATCTATGCATCTCGTGGTGTTTGTGGATTTGTCGCTCCACCGGTCTGGATGGCATAGCCCTCAACTGGAGTCCTGGACAGCAAGTCAGTACTTTTGTCGCCCAATTGACCTACGGAGTAAGTGAGACGAGCTGTAGCCTCGTGCACGGAGCGATGGTTCAACTCTTCGGAATGGAGTAGAGTAAGCATCCACCTCATTACACATCGCCCATCGCTTTCGGACTCCTACGGTCGGGACCGAGTATGTTTCAGGTCAGAAACAATAGCAGACAAATCGGGTCGCGCCGTCCTCACGGTGGAGGATGACTGAGTGGAGGGGGCAGAGAGACACACGCAGAGATAGAGGGAGAGATCAGAACTGAAAACACAACACAAACAGACTGTCTTGCCGACAGCTCCTTTTGCTTTTAGGGTTTCTGATCTGTGCCACTTGACCTACGCAATATCTATGAGCCTCATCAGTGTATGACGCAACTCGCGATGCTATTTTGAAACTTCGTGATCCGTGTCTATATTGACGACGATTGAGATTGTCATCGCCTTATGCTGTGTGTGTGTGTGTGTGTGTGTGTGTCTTGCTGTGTGGGGATTCACTGTCTCTCCCATCGTGAATAGATTGCGTGTCCTGACTGAGAGACCCACCGGTAGTCCCAGAAAGTCACCGTCGGGACCCTCAATTGAAGGAGCCTGACACCTGGATTGACAGGCACGCCCACGCTAGAGGACAGCCTAGTCTACCGGATTCCTTTATCCTGAGTCCTCTGTCCGTGGGATGATCTGGAGGCTGAGTGACTGGCAGAGAAGGTAATCGGGATGTCACCAGATACGATTTGATTGCCTGCCTCCCACGGAGAAAAGTCGCCCCTTCGAAGGAAAAATTGCAATGCAAAGCGTGACCAAAAAGTCCCGCGTCCAGGTCAGTCGTGTGCCTATTTTTTGTGCGGCAAATAAATCAGTGCGGCGAGACAAGAAAAATTTCCCCTTCCCTGCGTGCGTTCTCGTCCTCCTCCCCACAGCCACCGACCGGGCACGCAGGAACGCCTGGGCTCAATTTCCAGACCGTCCGCCTGTTTTGGGCCTAACAAAATCGGCCCCTCTAGTCCTTTTTTAGGGCGGGTTTTAGTCTACCGTAGTCTCATCAATCATCATCGGTTCTCCGAGTGAGGAGCGAGGTGAGTTGAGACCTGAGAGCCTCGGTCGGGGCAGGAGAAGAGGAGAGAGAGAGGGGTTTGTTTTGGTTTGGTTTAGTTCTCTATCGTCGTCTTTTCCGATCGGTCCAGTTCCGCTGAAAAGGAGCCCGGACGCACTTACGCGGAAGCCTGGCTTACTTGCTGCTCATGCTGCTGCTTATACTGCTGCTCTCACTGCACACTACTGCACATACCTTATGCAGCTTGTGGCCAGTGTGCATCCGAGGCAAAAGGACCTGCGGACGGGAAGGGAGAGTGGTTAATCTTTTGCCTATTTTTGTTCTTGCTTGTTTTTTTTTCTTGTCGCATTCGCACCGTGGGTTGATTGATCCTCGGGTAAGGATTTGATTGGGATGTGCACTCGGTAGACAGAGGGTGTTAACAAGAGACACACAGTTCAGTCCAAGTCAGACAAAGAGATAGACAAGCAGTCCAGGCACGCGGGTGGTTCGGAGCAAGGACCGGAGAGTGGAAGTCCTATGCACTAAGTACTCCTCCGTTCTCATATATACATTGCTGTGAAATAATAATATCATAATAAAAATAATAACACCAGATATACTAAACAAGAATAGATTAGAGCAGGAGAGACATCCATGGAACCGGGATTAATTGATTGATCGATCCTGGAGGAAGAGGAGAGGAGGAGCCCGAGGGAATTGCACTTGCCCGGGAATGGGATGATAGCCCGTGACTGGCCCGACCCTTTTTTTGCCCACTGGATCCACCACCTGGCAACTGGCACCGGCCCAGGCTGGAGCTACGCGTACCGGTAGAACGGCTTTCAACCTCCTCCTTCTCCTCTTTTCCTTTCTTACAGTCTCGCTCGCTCTGCCCAGACAACGTCTTCTCCACTTCCTACACTAGTTCACTCCCTCTGCTCTCATCCACCTCCTCGTTCTTTAAGTCCCCGACCCCTTCTCGATCGTCTGTCCTCCTTTGTTCCAGACATCTAGACAGACAGACAGACATCATACCTTTACCTTCCTTTCTCTATCGATCTCTTCAGTTCAATCCTTAACACATCACACTTCACGCCTTCGCCTCCCTATCCTCCTATTCCTCCCCTTGTTCGCCTCCGTTCGTTGCTTACACCTCACTCTCTACTGATTTCCTTCTCTGTTGAATCCAACAAGCTAGCTGTCAAATTCCTTAACATCACTCGTGACCCATCCAAAGTTTAAACTCCAAAAGTACCTACCTACTTAGACGTTGAATATTGCTCCTAGCTACATCGGAGCTTCCACCGCACAATTTTGTCTATTTTGTTTGCTTGAAAGCAACCTTATCCGGGAACTCGATACCCGCTTGTGCAACCAACTGCCATCTCTATCAATCTCTTCCCCCGTTGCCCGATTCTGGATCTTCGCTCATCCTCGGTCTGGCCTTCGACTTCCAAATTACCCAATAGCCAAGAACTTCACAAAGAAAGCTAAACGGGTTTCATCAGCTCCCCGCGCAACAACCTGATCAGCCCGGTGGATTCCCATAGGAACGGTTGCCCCTCACACATCAGAAACCGAAGGGATATCTGCTCCTGTCTCCCTGGCCAAGGAGACTCTGCATCACTGATCGCTCGATCTCCAAGCGCATATCCGTGCTATGGAAAGACACGTTACACGCATTTGATGCCAGCCGTCATTGCGAGCAACTCTTGCCCTTTTTGATCACCTGCACGAACCATCACGTCGCACACAACACCCCCTTGACTATCCTCTTCTTCCCGACTGGTCCCAGCCTTTTGGTTTGACGACTATTCTTATATCCGGCATCTCGTAGTTCCTCAGCAATAGGAAACATCCAATTTCTTCTCCATACTCGATTCTCGTCCACCTTGTCTCATCGTCCCGAACAATGGCACGCACCGAAGAACCGCTTGATGCCCCCGATGGCTCCGCTTTGACATGGATTTTCGACCATTGTCTTCGGTACCCTGGTACCTACGAGATCCCGTTGCGTTCCATGTATGCGTTGAATTGCAACCCCACCAGACAACAGCCATCCTCAACTACCCGCCAGCCTGAAACAGCCTTCCACCGCCCGACCAATTCGTCCTCTTCTCAAGACTCGATGGATCTCGCTGCTGATTTCCGGGCTCAATTGAGCCACCAGATCTCCCGTCTGCCCTCGCAGCCATGCAACCTGCCTCCCAGCTTCGTCACCTCCTTTGTGCGTCGCTGCTTCACCCCTCAATTGGTAGAGGTCGATTTCCCTCAGGCATTGACCGCCTTGGACTACCTCAAAGATTTCGAAATCCGCCGTCGGAAGGAGGTTGCTGCCGCTTTGCAGCGACTGGGTGTCGAGCCGGAGGATGTGAAGGAGTCGTCCGAGTTCGCCAAAAAGTACCCTGGTGCGATCACCTGGCTCGAGTCCCTCAACTCTCGCGGTCGCCGCATCGAGGCTCTCTACACCCAAGTCTATGTTGGCTTGCGTCGCTGGGTATGTGCCTCGTATTCTCACTCAGCTGTCTTCTTGCTAACAAGGTCGTTTTAGACTCTGATCAACGAGATGTTGATGGAACCTTTTAACAAGGCCAATTGCATCGCAATGCTCAACACATTGTTCCCCCCGGTTACCGACGCAACTGTACCTCCGACCTCGTACCTGACGCCTGACCATCTGAGGTCTCAGCGCGATGGTTTCTTCAGGTACATTGCGGCTGTGGGGCGCAACGGCCCGGAAGTGCTCAACGAGATCATCGTTCAGGGCGCACTGCCCGGCGATGATAATGGCTGGCCTGTAGTCCGGGATGTTCTCGATCGCTACCTTCGTGCGGCCTTGGACATTTACGATGACTGTAGCACGGTCACTGGGCTCGCCAGTTTTGAAGAGAGTACTGAATCTCAGACCCGTGGTCACAAAGGCCGCAAGGTTGACTCCGGAATCAGTTTCGGCTCCGCGGAGAAGATTCTCGCCGCCGGGGGCGAGAGCAGCAAGGAAGTCGAGGATATTCTCGAGAAACCTCTGCCTCCACCTCCCACGACCAGGCATAAATCGGGCTCTGCGTTGGAGCGGCTGACTCGCGAGCTTCGCAAGCTGGGCGAATCCGGCAAGGTCAAAAGTCTCAAGAAGATGAGATCCACGAGTGCTCTAGCGGTGCGGTCTGAAAACGTGCCCAGTCGGTCGGAAGAAGAGTCACTCTTTGAGATTGATGAAATGAAACGCCGGCGGCTCCTGTGGGAAGCCTCCAACCGCAAGAAAGCCCATTCGAAGCAGTCGAGCACGGACTCGCGTTAAGGCTCTTGTTGCAGTACTACTACTTGTTCACACACTTATTTTCTCTTTCATTTTAGCGTTTTACCACATGCTTTTCCCCCACACCAAAAGCAGGAAAGACAAAAGCCTGGATGCTTTCATTACTGGTACATGTTTGGAGTCTATCAGGTTAGTCATGTTGGCGTTTTCAAGACGGTCAAAAGGTTTCAGGTGCATAAGGTTTACTTAAGGTTTCTTCTTCGTGTTTTGAGTATCTCATGTGGTTCGAGCTAGCATAGATCGACTTCTGGCGTTCCGGAAACGATCTCGAGAGAAGTCTGTCTCTCATTGGCATTGGGAAAGCGCAGAATTTTCTGCAGAAAAAAGCAAAGAATGCAGAAAAAAGCAGTTCAAGTCATCAAATTGACTGGAGCAAATGATTATGACCATGTATCTAATGAAGGAATGAGATCACAAGAATTACAATCCCTGTTCTGTGTTATGAAACGGTGTCTACGGACGTAGCCTCTGGCAGCAATTCTTCAATGTTAGGCCTGGATTTGATTAGCGAACTTGGCTTACGCGATCCCCGCAGTACATCCCTTACACTTCCATCGGCCTCAATTCACTGCCTTAGGTGCTCACAAAGGTCGAGCGTTCCCTATGTCTTTCCCAGGGGGGGGTGCTTCCCATACAAAGTGGGCCTCGCGATGCTGCATTGCCTGACAGCTCTGATGAGATGAATTGGGAGCGGATTTTGAAAGAGGCTGACGTTTGCCCTTGGTCATACTCTGAAGTTAAGGGACTGCATAATTAAGACCATGCTTGATTGTACTGTACACTTATATTCCCATTGCCCTCAACATCAAGGATCCATCTATGATAGTAGTACTACTAGGTAGTCCATACAACAGCCAGCCCACCAATGAGAGCCGAGGATAGAAGACACGGAAGTCCTGCGTGTTTGGCCGCTGCGCCCGCCGTAGCAGCTGTCTTCCTCCCGCGAAGTGGCCAGAATCCTTTGACCAGATGTAAGCAGTGCACTATTCATGTCTTTGTTAACTTCTGCATATCTCAATTTTGGATAGTGATTTTTCGAACATTTGACTGAATGTCCGAAGGCTGGCTCCTTCATTGAAGACTTTCGTCGCGACTGCTCTTCGAGATCGGGCTTACATCCCCACCCGTGATGCCCGCTTGCTAGCTAGTTAAATCGGGAGTAGCTCGCTAGCTCACACTTGTTTACACCTTTCAAGACACCTATTCTCTGCCGCCAGCTGCAGAGATGGTGTCGGGGTCAGCGTTGTTCGCCTCCTGGCGACTCAGTTCCGTCATCGTTGCCTCTGCATTATCTTGCTTGGTGCATGCGACGACGCCCTCCGTGAATGTCGCTCTCCAAGCTTCTTTCGATTCCGCACCTTATCTTATAGAGCTACTGTGAGAGGAACCCGTCCGATTTGATTATCGAAAGCCAACTTGCTTGACCACTCTGCTCACCTACTAAACTAGTGAAACGGCTGCCGAGGAGAACTCGACTTCATATTTCCCGATACTAGACCGAATCGCCGAGGGAGTTTTCGATGATGCCGTGACAGACAAGGAGCTGTATGATCGGTTCCTGGAGGTGATTCACACCGACGGACACCTGAGGACCCCGGAAGCACTCTCCTCTTTCAAGTTGTCGTTGTCCATCCGATCTGCCAGTCCTCGTATCGCCGCACACTATCAATACTATAATGCCTCGGTCCAGCATTCGCTGGCGGCGGCCCAAGACGCAGTCTGTCCGGTCTGGGTCCATGCGGAGGGAAAGCAGTATTGCTCCTCTACTCTGGAACGTGCCCAACAGGGTGTGATGGGTCCAAGGTTTGCCTCATGTCGCTGAATTGAATGGTGAGGGTTCGCAGCTAACTGCTTTGATCTCTAGTGACCCTCCAGAGCTACCCTTCGATCGCGTTCTCGGAGATTCTTCCCTCCCACCGGCGATCCTCTATGCCGACCTAGCGTCTCCGATGTTCAAGGACTTCCACCAGTCCCTGACCGCTCTTGCCAGAGATGGCCAGTTCTCGTATCGAGTACGTTACAGGCCTCCGCAGCGCTGGAGTTCGCGTCCGCTGTTCGTGTCGGGATATGGTGTCGAGCTTGCATTGAAACGGACAGATTACATCGTCATTGACGACAGGGCTGCTGAGGAGAGGAGCTCTGATGCTTCAGGCTCGAAGAAATCAGTCAATGGGGACGGAGATGATCTGGATGACCTGAGACCACTGTCCTCGTCGGAAGTATCACGGCTCGGTCCGGGCACTGTTGGCTACGTACTGGACAGCCAGAGCCCGCTGGATACACTGGTCGAGCTGTCGCAGGACTTCCCCAAGTACTCGGCCAAGATTGCCGCCCACAATGTCACCAAAGAACTCTTGCAAGACATCCAGTCAAGTCGGCTCCGGATGCTCCCCCCGGGATTCAATGCCTTGTGGATCAATGGTGTTCAGATCGATGCTCGACAGGTCGATGCTTTCACTCTCTTAGACCATCTGCGTCGTGAGAGGAAGCTGATCGAGAAGTTCCGCAACCTTGGACTCTCCGCCAGTGAGTCCGTGGATCTGCTGTCCCACAAGTTCCTGGCAGCGGCAATGGCTCAGGATGGCCCTCAGCGGTACAACTACCGGGACGAGATCGAGGGTGGCGGTGTGATCATGTGGCTGAACGACCTTGAAAAGGATGCACGCTACGAATCGTGGCCAAGCGACCTCGGTGGAGTGGGTAATCCTTTCCCAGTGATGAGAACACGATGCTAATTATTGTCAGTACATGCAACGTGTATTCCCTGGCCAGTTGCCGTCTGTCCGTCGTGAAGCTAACAATGTGGTTATTCCGGTTGATTTGGCCAAGCTCGATGATGCCACCCTCATTGTTAAGTCCATCCAGGTCTTTGTGAAGAACAAGATTCCCGTGAGGTTTGGCTTGGTTCCGACAACTTTCTCCCCGGGCTCAATTGCGCAGCTCAAAGTTGCTCATCACCTGCAAGATACCTTTGGTCTGGCTAGCTTGATGAGCTATTTGGAAACGGTAAGTAACAGTACCCGAGACAATTCTCCTTTCCAGCCATTAATGTTTCATGTAGTCAGTGTCCAAGAACAAGTTAAGCTCCCCGGACAAAACAGCCTTTCAGGCTGCGACCGCAGACCGAACTGCTCGCCCCGATAAGCAATCCTTGTCTCTGGATGAAGTGCTCAAGAACGATGCCGTGGACACTATAGTGAGCCGGACTAGTGAATACTTGAAACGTCTGGGTGTCACAGGAGAAGCGTCACACTCGTTTGTGAACGGCGTCCCGATTCTTCGTAATGAGAATTGGGCTCAGGAATTGAGCTCCAGGGTCAGCCGGGATATCCAGGCAATTCAACAGTCGATCGCTGATGGGGAACTTGCCGAAGACACATGGTTACCCGGCCTTTTCCTCTCCGATGCCTTTGACAGACGTAACCCTGTCATTGTCCCTGAAGACCCAAAGGACGTTCGAATTGTGGACATGGCGCAAGTCGCAGAGACGTATGGCGAGCTTCTCGGATCTCTCCCTCGCATTCCATCAACCCAGGCCAATGCCCTTGCTAGCAGTCATGTGATCGTAGCGGGCGACTTCAGCGATGAATCCGGCTTCAACTTACTGAGCGCAGCGCTTGGGAGCCTCAAGAATCACGATGAAGCTGAAATACTGCTCCTTCACAACGTTGGTGCAAACTCGTCTATCTGGACTGGATCCTATACTATCCATCGTTATCTGAAGAAGTGGAAAAAGAAAGATGATGTTGATGCCGCAAAGCTACTGGAAGAGCTCACAGGAACCGACCTATGGTCTCGTGAAGATAAGCAGGAGGCTGAAAGCTTCTGGTGTGCCCACCAGCCTCTGGTCAAAGGCCTTGGACTTTCCTCGGGTGCAAATGCAATCATCATCAATGGAAGAGTCATTGAAGTGCCAGTCGACGTGGCGCTGACTTCAGACGATGTGGACCAGCTACTGGCTTATGAGAGGCAGAAGCGTATAGCTCCTGTTGCCAAGGCTGCCGAAGCATTAGGTTTCGGCGCGAAGCTCAGTGGCCCCCTTACCCTTGCTAAACTGACCTCTCTGGCAGCCCTTTCTACCGTTTCCGACGTGCCGGAGGGTATTTACGAATCGACACCCGACATCCGCGTCAACTTGTTTGAGCGGTGGGACAACGCTCGCTCTACAATCACGGTCTCTAACTCGGAGGATCCTGTAATTACTATTGTAGCCTCTATCGACCCGACATCTGAAGTCGCTCAGAAGTGGTTGCCCATTCTAAAGGTACTCTCGGACCTGGCCAACGTCAGAATGCGGCTCGTCCTGAATCCCCGGGATGAACTGCAGGAGCTGCCCACTAAGCGGTTTTATCGCTACGTGCTAGACTCGGAGCCCTCGTTCAGCCAGGATGGATCTGTCGCTCGTCCTACCGCCTCTTTCTCCGGTGTACCTGTTGAGGCGCTTCTAACATTGGGCATGGACGTTCCCACTTCGTGGCTTGTGGCTCCGAAGGAATCCGTGTACGACCTTGACAACATCAAGCTGAGCTCGGTTAAAGAGGGTACAAACGTGGACGCAATCTACGCTCTGGAGCACATTCTGATTGAAGGCCACTCACGGGATCTTACTATGAAGACGGCACCGAGGGGAGTGCAGCTCATTCTGGGGACAGAGGAAAGCCCTCAAATCTCCGACACCATCATCATGGCCAATCTGGGTTACTTCCAATTCAAGGCTCAGCCGGGCCTGTGGACCATCAACCTGAAACCCGGCCGCAGCGAACGGATCTTCCAACTTGACAGCCTCGGGAACGAGGGGTACAGCCTCTATCCCAACGACGACACTAGTAACGAGGTTGCCCTTCTCTCCTTCCAGGGCAAGACACTCTTCCCCCGCCTCTCCCGCAAGAAGGGTCAGGAGATGGAAGACGTGCTGGAGACGGGCATTAAATCCGGCAGCGCGATGGACTACGTCTCCAAGGGCCTCAACTTTGCCTCCGGCGTTCTCTCCAGCGTGGGGATCAACGGCTCCCCCAAGGACGTGGCGGGCGGCAAACAAGCGGACATCAACATCTTCTCCGTCGCTAGCGGCCACCTCTACGAGCGCATGCTCAACATCATGATGGTCTCGGTCATGCGCAACACGGAGCACACGGTCAAGTTTTGGTTCATCGAGCAA